AGTCTCAGTACCACTTAGAAAGGAAAAGGTGAGCTACTGTAGCAGCTCTAACACTAAATCGTGCAAGTTAAGAAGTAGAACTAAAGTAAAATAAAACCTACCGTGTATCACTATTTACCACTAAATTAAACTTGGCAAAACTAATGGAGAGTTAGCTTTGAAGTTAAAAATTAGTTCGAGTTGGGCTGGACAGATGGGCCAGTGATTTAGAGCATTTATTGCACTTTTGGAAGACCAGGGTTCAGTTCCCAGCACTCAAATGACAGCTCACAGCCATCTATAACTCCGGTTCCAGGGGCTTTGACACTTCTTCTGTCCTCGTTGGGCACCAGACACATGCAGGCAAAACACTCAATCACATCACATAAGAAGTCTTTAATTTTTTTAATTATTTAGGATAAATGTGAAAATAATAAATGGATGAGGTAAAGGAAGAGGCAGGGAAGGGGGAAATTGGAGCTAAGTTAGATAAACGAAAGAGAAAGGAATGGAGAAATGTGATGAAGGGAAGAGAAAGAAAAAAAAAACTCAGTAGGTAAAGCACTTGCTTATGAGGACCTGAGTTCAGTCCCCAGAACCCAAATAAAAACTAGTCACATAGTATGAGTCTAATTCTCGCACTCCTGCAAGGAGATGAGATAGAGAGATACAGGAATTCCTGGAAGTTCATAGGCCAGCTAGCCTGTGTGTGCATTGGGAAGTCAACAAAGAAACCCTGTCCTACAGAAGGAGGCAAGGGGTCATGTTTCCTTGCTTTTTCATTGTTCTTGTACCTCTCTGTTATACTGATATCTGTACATGCTTTGACACACATGCTCCACATTTACACGTACAAATGCATACATATTCACACATGTCATAAGCATCACCAAACTTAGATAAATAAAAGCAACAGAAAGTAAAATGTAAAAGCTCTTTAAAGAACAAATTAAGTAAAAAAAAAAAAAACTTAAAAAATACAGGCAGATGAGAGGGAGAAGCCAGAGCAAGCACAGAAAGGGGAAACATAAACAGCATTAGATGAGTGTATGGAGGGAACAAAAGATTAAAACCAAGAAGTGTTTATATGATAAGATAAGAATGCTCCTGACCATATGGAAAAGAGAAACTGGGTTAAGGGTGGGGGGCATGAGACCACACAGGACACAACAGGGACTTGAGGATTCTTGCATTTCCTGTGTCCTGTACAAGTGTCCAATGTCTCCAGGACTGTCTTCACTGTGGTAGCTTCTCTTTGCCTGCCTGGGGCCTCTGTTAGCCATCCTTGGTCTCCCATTCTCTTGAGCCCCACCCCATCCCCAGTTCCTACTTTGGCTAATAGTCTATCTGGGGCAGAAGGGCTGCCTCCTGAGTGTGTTGACAATGGGGGAAGCAACAGCAGCACTTTCCTCCTATTTCATCTATTGCCCAGCTGGAGGAGTGCGGCTGTGAGTGTTGGATAGTGTCCTGGTTGGACTCTACAGCAGTGAACCTCGCGGCAGATAGTTGGCTCTAGACTTCTGTCCACCTACTGCCCTGACAAGCATGTTGCCTGCACTTTTCAGTCTCCGGTGGCTGTCTCTCATGATGGATTCTGGCTGTCCAGGCCTCCAGGGAAGCTTGATTTTAAATAGTAGATTACTTCTACAGGTAGCTGCTGTGCCCAGCCCTGTGACCCAGGAGAACTCCTCACTGCTGACCCATCTTGTTAGAGAAGCCATTGTCTCAGGGAGACCCGTAATTAGATTGAGACTTGAGAGAGCTGTGGTCTTGTTCTGTGGGAGGACTGACAGTCCTTTTTCACCAAGGCCTCCTCGTTTACCTACCTTTCCATTGAGGCTTCTGTTACACTCCCCAACGAGAGAGAGCTGCCGCTGTGTCTACTGTGGCCTGCTTTTCCATGGTAATACTTCTATTCTCTGTACTTTCACCGTCTTGTCACTCCTTTGTGGGTGTCAGAAGGACTGTCCTTTCCATCTCTCTTTGGAACAGTCTACTTTTTAAAATAGTACTTTTATTAATTTTACACACACACACACATACACCCCTCCTCTTAGATCCACCCTCACCTCCTGACCCACCTAAGCGTGGTTGGTTGTTTTGTTTTCTGACTCTTCAAATCCAGTTTCTATTGCCCAACTATTTTTAGGAGTAAGGACTCCCTTAGAGGGTGGCTGACCTGCCAGGGGTCACACCATTAGAGGAAACTGACTCTTCCTCCCCCAGTAGCTATGAATTGCAGCAGCTCCTCAGCTCAGGGTAGGATTTTATGCCCTCTCCCCTCCCCTCCCTGCTCTCCGTCTTGGAATTTTGTCTGGCTCAAGTTTACATAGGCTTTGTGTTTGCTGTTAAAATCTCTTGAATTGCTATTTGTAGCTGTCTGGTTATGTCCAGAAAATGGTTTTCTTGAAATTATCTACCCCTTATCTCTTAAAATTTTTTCATCCCCTCTTCTAGAAGATCCCTGAGCCTTGGGATTTGTACAGCCCTAGTCTTATTAGCTGAAGCTTGACCAGGTGAAGGTCTGTGTTAATTGTCATCTACTGCAAGGAGACACTTGTCTGAAGAGGGTTGAGAGATGCAATTTACGTTCATACTGTGTCCACTTAATAGAGTAGGTTTTCCACCAGGGCCTATGACCTATCTAACCACAGGTTCTTGACTCCATTGAAATTGCCAGGTGTAGGTTCCATCTCATGGAGCAGGCCATAGATCCAAGCGTAAAGTAGTTAGCTATTCCCATAACATTCATGCCACTGGTGCACCGGTGAGCATATCTTGTCACACCTGTTGTTATTGTGGCTTGTAGGGTTCACAGCTGGATGGCATTAATGGTTACTTTTCTTCTCTGGTAGCATGCATAGCACCTTCCAACACTGTGAAAGCTAGCCAGTAGGCATGCAGCTTCCAGGTGAGTACCAGCTAGATTTTTCCATGTTCTATAACTCAAGTATGGGGTATCTTTAGCAATAGAGTCTTACCATCAAGCTCTGGTAATAGCTTGTAATGTTTGGGGCTTTATGGAACCCTGATGGCCAATAACTCAAAGAGGTAGCCCATATTTTTTGGTGCTAGGGTTTTTCATTTGCAGGCATTGGTGTCTAGTTAGAGTGCTGTCCCCATTATAGTGTAAACTCTTTTTATATGCATATATGTATTATCTTAAGAAGCGTCTACAGTAGTAGGTTTCCACATGGCTTTTTCAAAAGGCTTTCAGTGTTAGTTATCCCTCCCCATTTCTCCTCCTCTACCCTGCCCTCCTGCCTCCACTCCATTTAATCCTTGCTGCTCCATTTTTCCTGTCCCCTGTTTCTTTCCCTGATGTGTTCTATCCTCACAGGGTCCTTTGAAAGCTTCTCTCCTTCTGTGGCCTTTACTGGTTTCCTAACCTCTGTGGTATGGAATAGTCTTATTTTTTGTAGCCAGGTGTTTCTCCTTCCCCAGACTACACGGAGGTGGATACTACTTTACCATCTTTCTCAGAGGAGCCCTATGTTCCTTCAGCCCTTCATAGTTCCATAGTGTAGAGATGTGTGTATAGTGCATAGCATAGAACTAAGACATGTCGAATGCCATGCATGTTTTAGTTTCTCATGCATTCTCCTTCTCTCTTCACACATTCTGTATAGGAATTTCTAAAATCAGTTTTGTAACTCTGAAGTACCAGCTTTCATTTTACTTATTTTAGTGATGTTTTCTGCTTTCTAGTTCATTACATTTCACCTAGCTTTATTCTTTTTACTTGCCTTGGATTTCATTTACTCCATTTCTCAAAGCAGAAATAAAAGTTGTTGGTTTGAGACCTGTATGTTCAAAATAAATGTGTAATGTTTTAAATTTCCTCCTAAATATTACTTTTAACTGCTGCTTTTTATGTGTTAAAATGTTGTTTTTCCACTTCAAATCAATTCAAAGTATTTATATTATTGTGTGACTGTTTAAGTAGTCGGTGGGTTATTCAGAATTGTGTTATGGTAAATTCACCAGACCTAAGCTCATTCTTAAATTCAGGATCAGGTGGAATTCCTCTTCTGTTTATGCTTCTGGGTGTGCTGTACTACGCTTGAGCCCACATTCAGCCTTTAACAATGTGTGAAGATTTAAATAAACTCTTTTTGTCCTCTTGTATGAGAGCCCTGGTGTCTTCCCATTCTTTACTGTAGTGAGCCAAGGTTCACATTCCAACTCTATTTGGACATGTTCATCCTCCATACATTTTGTGTAACAGGTTAAAGAAAAGTGGGTTTTTTTGTTTTGTTTTGTTTTCTGGGTTTTGTTGCTGGTAATGCCAAAGGAGTCTTTTTAGCTTGTCCATCCTAGGATCCAGCCAGAGTCTCAGTGCCATATGCTTTGAGCTATAATTTAGGTAGCATTTTAGAGTTCTCACAGTAGAAGTGGAATAAGAGAGAATGATAGCTTTATATATCAAATGCTCCTTAAGGCTGCATTGCAAGCAAAACTGTACCTTCCGTCTTGAATTTCATGGAATATCCTCTATTAGCTTGTTGTAATAAAATTTTAGTTTACTGATTATGATGACATTCTTGGTTTGCAGGAAACAATAGGAATGAGTTCCTTCTTTCCTAATTTAAGTTCAGGGACATTTCATACCTCATATGGAGAAATGGCAGAGGTGGGGGATTGGGACCCAACCTTATTGTTTGTAGTAGTACAACAGTGCATCTATATAGCAAGCTCAGCTTCAGCCTGAGGCCTGTTTGATTATCTGATCTTAGAGCTAACAGTGTATAATTAGGTGCTTTATCCCAGTCTAGTGACCTTTGAATGAACAGAGCCCAAAGGAGTTATCTGTTGAACAGGGCTTTAGTCTGGTAAAGGATGAAGGTAGGTAATGAAGACATATTATTTTTCAGTATGTCTAACTTGATGGTGAAACATTTAAAGGAAACAGCCAATTTATGGAAGTGATTTGTTTGTTTTGTAGAACTTTAGCTGTCTGATATTGGTCAGTATACACTGATATTTTTCGATAATGAATTTAACTTGCTTTTCTTTTTCAGAAAATTCTTCCAGGAGGAAATACATCATTTGATGTAGTTTTTCTTGCAAGAGTAGTGGGAAATGTAGAAAATACTTTATTTATTAACACATCTAATCATGGGGTGTTCACTTACCAGGTAAGAACCAAAACTTATATTTCCTTTTCAGTACAGATAATAGCCAGCAAATTTAATAACCTTTAAGAGCTCACTTTATAAACTCAAGGAGAAGAGAAAAAACAGGATGTTAGACTTTGGGTACTTAGACTTACTGTGGATTATGGGGATTGCATTTTATTTATTTATTTTACATTTATTTGTTGCTTTTTGTTGTGGTTTGTTTGCTTGTAGTGCCAGGAAATGAACTGAGGCCCTGCTTATTTTAGGTATACACTCTGCCACCTAGCTATGTTTATTTTAGGTATACACTCTGCCACCTAGCTATGCCCCTGGCCATACCTGTTGACTTAGTGAGTAGACTATTGCAAGAACAAAGGGCATGACTCTCCAAGGGCATTAGCCGCAGACCCAGCTGGTCAGTCTGTGTTTTCTGTGGGTTATAGTCAGGTTGTTCTTGAAATGAGCCTCAGTGGCCTGCATATTCTAGTCCACCATCTATGCTTTCTCTGCCTGGTTTTACTCTTTGTCCTAAATATACTCAGGTCTGCCTGCTCCCCTCGCACTGCCCCTGCTCTTTCTCAAGCTAGTGTTATGTCTCTGGCTTACAGGGTACCTAACTACCTTTCTCTCTTCTCTAACTCCTTGTACAGTCTCTGACTTACTCTATAATCACAGCAAAATCTAAAAGAATCCATGTCTTTACATCTGCTCAGTACTAGAGTAAGAGCTATGAGCACAGCTGTGCTATTTAATATGTTCACTATTAAACTATATGTGCCTGTGCCTAGTTCATCGTCGACAATAACCATTTGTTATTTGAATAGCTCCCTCTCCCTGTTAGTCTACCTAGGTAAGGTGTTTTCGTGTGGCACTAACCTGAGCCTGGGCTGTATCTAAGCATTGTCTGCGTCACAGCACCATCTCTTAACAGAGTGGGGAATTTTCAGCTCCCTGTTTGCTTCTCTGTGTGTGCCTCATGGTCTAGTGAAGGGCTGTTTACATTTTAGTTTCCAGTGTATTACAGAAGTCATTCTAGATGGACATACAGAGTATAGCAGGAAGTCTGTGCCATCATCTCAAGAAGTTACAAGTATTTCTCATGTCAAAATTAGATTGACTGTTTTCCATAGATCAAGTAGAACTGTAGCTATGAAAATAATGGTTAAAAAGCAACTCAGAAACTTCTTATTTCCCTTTGAAACAGGTATTTGGTGTTGGGGTTCCAAATCCATATCGGTTGAGGCCATTTCTTGGGGCCAGAGTCCCTGTAAACAGCAGTTTTTCACCCATAATAAACATACACAACCCTCACAGTGAGCCATTACAGGTGAGTTTCTGGGGGGTAATTTTAGTTAATCCTCATTTTGGTGGGAATTAACACATGAGATCTCAGTCTATCACAGTCGCCAAAATGATGTAAAATAGTAAGATTTTTACAGATAGGCTGAAGATATTGGTCAGTCTATAGCTATTTAAATATTGCCTTTTTTTCAGTCTTTGTTGTTACCTAGTTATTCTCTGTTTAATTTAATTTCTCTACTCTTTTCCCAGTTAGTCCTTGTTTGTTGAAGGTAGGCGTTGATGCAGGCCTTGTACTTGCTAGGCAAACATTCTGCTCCTCAACTATGTCCAGTTATGCCAAATGCTAGGTCACAGTACGGAGGAAGACCTTAGTTCATGAGCCTGCAGAGTGTTTGACCTTCACAGCACACACAAAGAAAAGCAAGTAGAAAACCTTTTCAGCATATAATAGAATTTTCTAGTTTTATTGCTTTGTTCTTTTTATTCCTTTCTGGAAGACTTTTTGTGATAAAACAAGTAAAAGTTTTCTACTACTTTGCCCCAGATTTATTTAAGTTAATGAAATGTATTTGCTATAAGAGCAAGAGTTATCTCCCATTAAAGGAAAGTCTCCTACCGTCTTACCCATTCTTCCTTAATGTTTACCCCAAAGAAGGAAGGCAAGTGTTCATACCAAGTGTCTTCAGTCAGTAGCTATGGCAACTTTATGTCACCCAGCACTGTGGCCAGACACTGGTGATAACCTAGATGTCCATCAGTGTGTGAATTTGTAAGATGTTGGAAGACCAGGCACATTGGCATACACCTCCATTCTCAGTACTTAGAAAGGAGAAGCAGGATTGTGAGTTCACTCCACCTATAAGAACACCATCTCAAAATGAAAAAACAGAAAGCAAACTGATTCAACCATAAAGATAGAAAAGAAATGATCTATTGATATATCATGGTGAATCTCAAGTAGTTACATTGAAAGGGAAGAAAAAAAAACTAGGCCAGACATAAAAGTACGTACTATTATTCATTTATAGAAGAGGGGCTGGGGAGGTGACTCTGTGGATAACATGCTTGTTCTTTCAGCATGAGGACCTGAATTCTAATTCCAAGTACCCATTTAAAGACTTTAGCATGGCAGTACTTGCTTGTAACCCCAACACTGTGCTAAAGAACAGATTTGCCTGGGAAAAGGAAGCCACAAAGAGATAGAAATAAGTTCCAAAAGGCACAAGGAAATTTTTAGAGCAGTGACTGTATTTAATATCTAAATTGCAATGATGACCTCATACTTGTACACAAAGGTCAGTAACTCTCAAGATATACAGTATAAATATGTGTCATTTATTGGACACTAGTTAGTGGTATTTCAATAAAGCCATCTTTAAATCACTTTAGGCACAAGCCTTAGGATTCTGCTTGCCTTTACCATGATTGTACTGCCAATAGAAACCCAATTATTTTTGTATTTTTTGTTTTAATTGAAGCATAGTAGCTGCACATATTTATGGAACACATTGACATTTCACTACATGTAAACAATAGATAATGAAGATTCTGAGAAATATTCAGCATCCTCTGTATGATCTTTGAAATATGCATCTGTTGTCAACTGTAGTTATCCTGTATTCTGTAGACCATGAGAAGTTCCTCCTTTCCAGCTGTGCACAGTTGGTTATGCCCTCCTCAGAAACCTTTTTGTGTGTGTGGTACTGGGGTTCAAACTCAGGGCTTTGCACATGCTAGGTGTGTCTACTCTCAGCTCAGAACCCAAGTGTTTTGATCTTTATTAGAATTATTACACATATCTTAGCATGCTTATCTTTTCTTTATTTCACAGCTCTAGTGATTATTGGATCTACCACTAGATCTAGTTATATATAAAATTTACATGTATATATAAATTTTTTTGTTACTTTAGAGATGGTCTCATGTGCCCCAAGCTGGCCTTAGATTATACCTGAAGATCACCTTGAATTCAAGATTACCTCAATTTCCCAAGAGCTGAGATAATAAGCATGTGCCACCACACCTGGCCTTAAATTTTTATTTCCAACACTTCATAATTTACATGTATTTTTATTTGGAAATAAAAAGTGTTCTGTTGCTTCCTAAAATCTAATTTCTGAAGCTACATGACTTCCAAGTGTTCAAAGTTACCTTGATTTAATTTTAAAATGCTGTTGTTTATGCAGATGAGTGTTGGTAATGTGGTACTTGCTTACATTTTTCTACTTTTGTATCCTTCCAATAAGCAGTGAGGATGCTAACTTCTCCATTTCAGCAAACCACTTGTGATAAGAGTGATTGTAACCACGGTGTATGCTTTGTCCCAGGTTGTAGAAATGTACTCTAGTGGAGGAGACCTTCACCTAGAACTTCCAACAGGTCAGCAAGGAGGTACCAGAAAGCTGTGGGTGAGTGGAAGCCCAGCTTGCTCTTGTGTGTGCTCATGGGAAGTTGGTCCTTTTCTTTCTTTTTTAAATGGTTCATAGAAGGTTTATTCCTACTATTCATTACATACCATATGACAAAAGTTCTGGTGGTCTATGGCAAGAGGGCATTCAAACCAACACAATTGGTCTTTTGATATATAACATGAAGAATGGATTATGTACATAATAAAGTGAAAGAGTTTACAAAATGAAAAGAAACAAATTATTTATAGGTATATGGTATAATGATTCAACATAAAAGAAAAAATTGGCAAAATTATAAACTTGGTCTAATTTACAATTACTTTTCAGATATTCTTTCATATAGTATGTAAAAAAGATGGTATTTTTACATCAACGTTAATCTTGTTAATCTATGTCTTGTTTAAAATAAGACACTTTCAGGTAATGTGTCCAGAATTTTTGTTTAAAGAAAATATACATCAAAAAGATTTTCAGCCTGCAGGGCAGGAGGGAGGGGTGACTATAGGAATGACTCAGTAGTTAAGAACACTGACTCTCTAACCAGGATTCAGTTCCTACCACCTACATGGAGGCACTCAGCCATCCTTAACTCTAGTTCCAGGGGTTCCAGTGCCCTCCTCTGGCCTCCACATATACCAGGGAAGCATGCATGCAAGCAAAATGCCCATGCATATAAAATAAATAAATCTTTTTTCCTAAGTTAAAAAAAATTCAACCTGAAAAAAATACTGGTTTTAAAGAACACACATACACACAGCATAAAAATCTATCACATGATCCCAACAATAAGCAAGTCATTTCGAAATGACTTGCTAGCCACAATTACTTAAAGCTTATTATTAGTGTATTAGAAGATTTTGGTTTGCCTGTAGATTTAACAGGGCTTAAAATACAAGGAGAAAAGGTGTATTATATGATTTTAAAAGAGATAAAACACATTCTGTATACCTTTTCTAAAACAATCCTTTGAGAATCTTTCCATCTAGTATTTACTTTCAAGAGTGGAATTAGAAATATATAGCTCAGAAATCTAATCTAAGAGTGAACTACCGGGGCTAGAGAGATGGTTGGTCATTAAGAACATGTACTGCTCTTTCAGGGTACCCCAGTTCAGTTCTCAACACCCACATCTGGTGGCTCATAACCACCCACAACTTCAGCTCTAGGTAATCTGACCGTGCTGGCCTCAGTGGGTACCTGCACTTGTATGCATATACACACAAAACAGAATGAGGCAGTGATAAGCACAATATACTTTAGAACAGTCTCCATAACTACTGGTAGACTCTAAACAAGTCACTTTTTTATCAGGTATTTGATGTTTCTTACATTTATAGAATTCTACTACATGAGAAGTTTACACCCAACTTTGAAACTTTGACAGAACTACAGTTTTTTTTGTTCAATTTTCTATTTTACAGAGTATGGACCCACTCTATTTACACCTAGGGATGTGTGAATTTATATGTCTTGAATTAGTATTCCCCATCATAGTCTGTTTTTTCATACTTGTGAAGCTGATATGTGATGACTAGAAAATTTCTAAATGAATATAAAAGAATTTAGACTTCTGAGTAGCTAAGAACTATAATGAACCTGGCGGAAATTAGCATAACCTTTTAATGCCCCAAGTGACTGCAAAAACTAGTAACCAGTAATGATTCCTGTAAGTGAAAACAATCAATCTATGGTCCTTGTCCTGTCGTAGAAGAAGGTCTGAGACACTGGGAAGTTTACACAGAGGTTTGCTTAGCAAAGACAGATTGGAATGGGCTGTCCCCAAGTGGAGGTAGCAACCCAATTGATTCTGTGTTGTAGGTTCTAAGTAAGTTTTATGAATATTTATGATGTAATAGCATATTCATAAAATAAGACGATCTTTTCCCTCCCAAATCATAGCAGATTAGATTTCCCTGTACCATGGATATATAGAAAGGCCCTGAAAGGGGATGGGAGTCAAAACCACAAGGAAAATGATATTTTTGAGGATTTTTTTGTTTGTTTTTTGAGACAGGGTTTCTCTGTGTAGCTTTGTAGCCCAGGCTGGCCTTGAACTCACAGAGATCCGCCTGCCTCTGCCTCCCAAATGCTGGGATTAAAGATGTGCACCACCACATGCATCCAGATTTATTTATATAGCAAGGGCAGTCTATCTTCGCCTCAAAGAGGTTTAGTCACCAAGACTCATTCCAACCATTAGGAGATGGTTCACATAAAGGTTTTACCATGAATTAGGACTTTATGATAGGTTGCAGGCTGTATAAACGGGCAGAACTTAGGCTGTCTGTAAGTATCCTTTTGCCTGCCAGCTCCATCATTCCTGTCTGTCTTCTGCCTGATGTCACCCTTTCCCACTTCGCTATACATTAGAATGTCCCAGGGTTGAGTCAGCTTCCAAGAGTTGGAAAGCACATCTGAAGTCCATCCATCCCCGTCCCCAACCCCCAACCCCCCCAACTAACCAGAGGCTTCTAGTCACCTGTTTTCTAAATTGAGACTACAGAGTTAAGGAAGTAGGGGTAGGTGAGGACCAATAACTTCTTAAACACAAGGTTATCCTAGAATAAGCTAGAAGTGGTTTGCAGAAAAATTGAGCAATTTTCAGGCAGCCAAATAGTTCTAAAATCTGGAAAATAATTTATATGCCCCACCCCCCATTGTGTTCCAATGAGTCGTCCTTCTAATGTAGCACCTGTATGGGTGGGGTCATTTAGAAGACTGAAAGTTAATGCTGTGTGTATTCATGTGACTACGTCTGTGTGCATACATGCACACCAAGAGCTTTATTTGAGTGCACTTGGTGATGTGTTAGGTTTTAAATAAAAAGAAAGCAGAATCCAAGTCCTGGTTACCATCTGGAAAAATACTGCCCTCTCATGGGAGACATTTCCATTGGATAATTTCAGGACTGTATATACAACTGTGACATGTTAAAAAAAATAGCTGGTTTTCTAGACTGGTTATGCTTTTAAGAGGTTTTTGCAGCTTTTAGTTGTTTTCAGACCATTGGCTTGATTAACTTGTATTGACACAACATACATCACTGATTCTAGAAAACTCATTTTTTTATTGTAGCACTCTATAAAATTGGAGCTTTTATGTGTTACAACCAGTGAAGCATATGTTTTATTGGTAATGCACTATTTTTTCTCAGTAGATATATAAAATAATAGTGCACCTCCGGTCTGTGTTATCTAATTGAGTAAACACTGTAGTTGGGCAGCATTCCATATGCTATGCTGCATCATGTCTTGTAAATGGAGTTCTTAATTTGTCTAAGTAATAAAAACCCAGAGTCAGATATAGAGGAAAATGCTGAGAGATCAGAGAGATGGAGCATGCCACTGCCACCTTACCTTCTTAGCGTCTCAGCAGACCAGAGAGCAAGTTCCTGTCTCTCCCTGTTTATGTCCTGTTTCCACCCAGCTACCTCACTTCCTGTCTGTCTGTACAGACCTCCAGACCTCTATGGTTAACTAGTGGCTAGCTCCATTCTCTGACCTTCAGACAGGCTTTATTTGTACAAGCAAGATCTCACTGTAATGTCTGTTTACTCACAGGAAATCCCTCCCTATGAAACTAAGGGAGTGATGAGAGCCAGCTTTTCCTCCAGAGAAGCAGATAATCATACAGCCTTCATAAGAATAAAGACAAATGCATCAGACAGCACAGAGTTCATCATTCTCCCTGTTGAGGTTGAAGTTACGACAGGTCAGTGGAAAACTGAAGAAATGGAAGTTTGTTCTGTTCTCAGTGACTGAGTGAAACCTAATTGTTCACTGTTCTGTTTTCCCAGCTCCTGGAATTTATTCCTCAACTGAAATGTTAGATTTTGGAACACTTCGAACACAAGGTAAAATAGCAGAAGTCTTCATGGGTCTCTCTCAGTTAATTTTCTGTTGCTGTGAAGAGACACCATGTCAAAGGCAACTTATAAAAGGAAGCATTTACTGGAGTGCGGGTGTTGCTTAGAATTCCAGGGGGTTAATACTTGAACATCATGGAGGGGAGCGTGGCAGCAGGCAGACAGGCGTGGTGCTGGAGCAGGAGCTGAGAGCTCACATCTTATCTGCAAGTTGGAGACAGAGAGAAACTGGGCCTGGTGTGCGCTTTTGAAACCCCAAAGCCATCCCCTAGTGACATACCTCTCCCAACAAGGCCACACCTCCTAGTCCTTCTCAGAATAGTCTGCCTCTAGAGACCAAGCACCTATGGGTACTGTCCTCACTATCCTCATTCAAACCACAAAGTCTAAAAAAATCCAATTGGGATTCAGTTCTGATGGCTCTTCTCTGTAATTCATCTTTGAAAGTTATTCCTCAGTGGGTCATGTGACCTTTTAGAAATCTAAGGAACCTGCTTCCCAGGTGATAGAATAAGTAACTTGAAACTTCCAGGTAGAAAATAGTTTCTTAAACCAGTTCCTCACACATTCAATTGTGATGAATATTTTTTTTTCAGTAGTAAAATAAGGGAAGTCAAAGATTTACCTCTGGATTTTTTTAAAGACATGAATTATTCAGTTGCATTATAATTAATGATATTGTTTATCCTGAGTAGTCAAAGAAAGAATTCCAATTCTAAAGTCATAAACAACCAAGCTTAAGATTTTCTGTTAAAGAAAAAGCACAAATACTTGATTTGAGCCATTTATAAATAAGACTTGCCCAGGATTAAAGACCCTATTTGCTTTTTTCCCCCTTTAGTTTTTCGAGACAGAGTTTCTCTGTGTAGTCTTGGCTGTCTTAGAACTCACTCTGTAGACCAGGCTGACCATGAATTTACAGAGATCCACCTGCCTCTGCCTCCCAAGTGCTGGGATTAAAGATGTGCACCACCGCCAGTTTGCTTTGATTTGAATATGGTAATTTTGCATTGTAATTGCCTTGTTGGAAAACTAAGCAATGTGTGAGTTCACTAAGAGTTATTCTCTACATTTTTGTTTTATTTTGGTCTGATTATTTAAGCTGGGTGTGATTAGGGCAACTCTTGTACAACAAAGGAATATACTGATGATTAGTGACTCCTTAATGTTTCTTTTATTAACATGATTGTCATTATAGTTAACATTCTAGAATAATTTCAACTTAATATCTAATAAGGAAGGTAAAGATTCTACTATTCTATGAAGCACATCTTTTAAAGAAACACTTCTTTTCCTTCATTTTAACAGATCTACCAAAAGTTTTAAATCTTCATTTATTAAATTCAGGAACAAAGGATGTACCAATAACAGTAAGTTTTTTCTGCACTCTCCCCCTTCCCCCCCCCCGTGTGTGTGTGAGAGAGGGAGAGGGAGGGAGAGAGGGGGAAGAGAGAGACCTGGTCTTCATTCATCCCTTTACTCATTCTTCATTTAATAATTATTTAAACTATGTATTATACTATGTCTTAAAAGTGGAGCTATGAGTCAGACCGTCACAATCCCCTCCACAACTGAGAGCTCACTTTGAAACCAAGCTTCTTTGGGTTCAGGAAAGTGCAATAAGAAAAGAATGGGATCTTAATCAAGAGAGCAACTTGAGGAGACTTACATGCTGTAGGAGAACACTAGTGTAGATGATAAAAGAGACCAGCCAAAGTTGTCATGGTATTCAGTTGGGGAGGTCACAGTAGCTTAGATTTCTCTCCTACATGCGCTGCAAACTGAGTTTTCAGAGAACTTAAGTTTGTTTTATTGTCTGTTTACTTCAGCATTTCTTGCATATTATAATAAGATTAGAGGCTGGTATGTTTTTAGAAAAATTGTTATCCTCTACCATTTCCTATACATGTGCAATTTTAAGGCCGGACTAGACAGTGCTCGTTATTGAAGTTTTGTTTTGTTAATCCCTCTTCCTAGAACTGATCCTCTTTTTAAACACTATAGTCCTCCTCAATGCAAGATAACAATACTGGTAACTCTAAATGCGGCTCCTCACCTGGTAGGGACAGAACACCCACATTCATGCCCTCCTATCTTTCATGTAGCTTTGAGAAAATAGCCTTCCACATAAACACTAATGTGACTTAGATGTCTTCAAAGGAAGATCTGCATGAGGTTTTCATGCTAGCTGATGAATAGGAATCATTTAGTAACTTTACCAGTATCAGTTTGGTGTTTACTTTAGTGAATTTCTACACAAAATATCAAGGATCCAGTTGCTATGTACTAATGGGTTTCCCCTTGCTTGCTGACATGCTTCTTCTGTGGTTTCAATGTTAGGCCTTGAACTCAGGGATCCACCTGCCTCAGCCTCCCAAGTGGACTCTTGTTCTCACTTGAATTACTGAGTAATAGTAGTTTGATTTGAATATCACAAGAAAGGGCTAAAATTATATTATGAATGTATGCAAGCTGCCTTTCCTGGGAATCTTGCCATATTTCCCCACTTCTTAATTATCTTTGAATAAGCAATAGTTAGTAACTAATACTAAAATAATATAAATAAGTTTATTATAAGGTAATGATTTTATATTTTTCAGAGTGTCACCAGAATGAACTTTTTTTTTTATATTTTATTTTCCAGTTTAAATTTAGATAAGAAACGAGGTTGCTTCACAAGTCAGTTCCAGGTCCCTCTCCCATTCCCTCCCCTCCTCCCGTGCCTTCCCCCCACCCCCCCGTTATCCCCTCATTCCCCCAGGGAGGGTGACGCCCTCCATGGGGGTGTCCATAGTCTGTCATTTCATATAGGGCAGGGCCTAGACCCTTCCCCAAGAGTTCAGGGTGAGAGTGCACCTCACATTATTCTATGGGAGTCCAAAGTCTGTGTGTATACTTGGGATGGGTACTGATCTGCTGCCCAAGGCTCAATAGATTCCCTAGGCCTCCTCACTGACACCCAGATTCAGGGGGTCTTGATCAGTCCCATGCTGGATTACCAGGCTGATGCCTGGGATTCAAGAGTTAACCTTTGTCTGGTCAGCTGTTTCTGGGGGTTAAACCAGCCCAGTCTTAATCCCTTTGATCATCAGTCCTCCCTCTCTGTTACTGGCTTTCTTGAGTTCAGCTCAGTACTTAACCAAGGGAGTCTGCCTCTTCTTCGATCAGCCACTAAATGAAGTTTCTGTTTCCCAGACTCTCTGGCCATAGGATTGTAGGCTGGCACTCCCCAGATCTATGTCTAAAATCCATATATGAGAGAGTACATGCCATGTTTCTCTTTTTGTGACTGGATTACCTCACTCAGGATGGTTTCTTCTAGTGTCATCCATTTGCCTGCGAATCTCATGATTCCATTATTTTTTTCTGCTGAATAGTACTCCATTGTGTAGATGTACCACATTTTCTCTATCCACTCTTCAGGTGAGGGACATCTAGGTTGCTTCCAAGTTCTGGCTATTACAAATAAAGCTGCTATGAACATAGTGGAACAGACATCTTTGTTGTATGAATGGGCATCTTTTGGATATATGCCTAAGAGTGGAGTTGCTGGGTCTTGTGGTAGGTTTATTCCCATTTTTCTGAGGAATCTCCATACTGATTTCCAAAGTGGCTGAACCAGTTGGCACTGCCACCAGCAATGGAGGAGTGTCCCCCTTTCACCACATCCTCTCCAGCATAAATTGTCATTGGTGTTTTTGATTTTAGCCATTCTGACAGGAGTGAGATGGTATCTCCGAGTTGTTTTGATTTGCATATCCCGGATGGCTAAGGATGTTGAGCACTTTCTCAAGTGCCTCTCAGAATGAACTTTTAAGTATTTTGCTCTTTTTTTTTTTTTTGCTTTTCTTTGTTTTTATTTCCTTAGACAAATGGATTTTACCTGATAATTAAGGTTTATTTAAATGAGTGAACAGTTCAGATTGTTTCTATAAAGTGAGTCACAAATTGTATATGTGTTTACTGTTAGTGTAGTATAGTTTGAGGTAATAATTCTGAATGTAAATTTTTCCTCTGATTTGGAACAATCTTAAAGTATTGCATTTGAAGTAAGAGAATCATAGTATAGTTTGAGGTAATAATTCTGAATGTAAATTTTTCCTCTGATTTGGAACAGTCTTAAAGTATTGCATTTGAAGTAAGAGAATCATTTTTTTTTACCTCTATTTTAAGTTCTTTCTGCTTCCAGTAACTCTGTCTTAGCAAAAGCCATGACTTGTTCTTTCCTGAACGGCTTTGTACAAGCTGCTGCCACTCGGAGCACGCTGCAGAGGTCCCTGATGAACACCTAAGCATGTGAGCGTGCTGGGACGAGGCTGTGCTTCCATTGTTGCTGTCTCACACACAGTAGCCAGGAAAGGCGGTAGTTATGCCATGGGAGCCCTCTGAGACCTCAGCTTACAAGGCCAGCTCTCTAGCAAGCCCCAAGCTCAAGATCAAAGTAACAAGTAAATGGAATCACAGAACTTTGTAGGCAGATTAATACCGTAGAAAGTATCTACTCCAGTTTCCCGGGATGCTTTTACAGGTGGGAAAAATGAACCTGAGTACATGGCAGCTTGTTTAGGCTCCAACTGTATCACTACTAGGTTGGCATGTATGTATGCATGCATGTATATAAGTATATATTCTACTGCTTTCCCTGTCTTGGAACAATTGTTAGTGTGGTAAAATAGTATAATGAAAGCAAGTGAAACTATCTTCCATTTGTAGCTTAGCTAACAGTTCAAACAATTCTTTGTTTAGTCTCAAAAATACATGCATACTGTTTAGGGGATGTAGAGATATGTATTTCAGGTAAGCTTTATTGAAAAGTAAAATATTAAACAAATCATCCAGTTCCCAACCCCAGTCTGAGGTTGAAATGAGAAAACATTCTTCAAGAAAAAGTGAGTTAATTGAAAAAAATAAAATGCTGAGAGAGCGGGAAGCCAGAAGCCAAGGCTATTAAGAATTCCAGTACAAGCAACTGCAAGAGTCATGCTTAGGCCATCATCTAGGACCTGTAAGGACTTGCTAGCTGCCCAGGGCTAATGGCAGTACACGGGAAAGTGAGCTGCCCTGGCAGGCCCTAGAGTTATTATAATCGTCTTAGTTCCCTGGCATAGCAAACACCAAGCCACAGGCCAGTGTCTTTCTTCACATCCTCTCACACGCTGTTGTGCCTTCAGGGCATTCCGACTTGCTGTTCAGTCGGGATACAATTCCCCTTTGTCAGTGGACAGGAGTCCCTGAGAATGGGGAAGAACCCTAGTGACGTGCCCGCCCTGGGCGCAAGAGTACCTGAGCTTCACACGTGGAAGATTCTTTCCTATGGGAAGTAACAGGCTTTGCATCAAGTTCACACAGTCCTGATCATTTGATAAAGACTTTTGAATCAGGATTAGTGAAGACACTTTTGTGCAATGGACATCAGACAGTGACCCTATACCAAGTCAGGAAACCTAGCTTCAGTCCTCTTGGTGCCTGACTATGGAAACATCACTGTATAATGTGAGACTCTCTTTATCAGAACAATGGGGAAGGGGTTGGAATCTTTGAAGTCTCTTTTGGTTTAACTGATTTGTATCATTAAGGACAATAAGAAAATAACTAGACCTTAAAATGTGTTTATTTTTAAAATGTACACCAAACATACACCATTCACTGGGTTTTGTTGTTTTTGTTCTTTGGGTTTTGATTTTTTTAATTTTAGGTTTAGTTGTGTGAATAGACCTGATTTCCTAAATTGAAAGCATTCTAGCCTGTCTTTCAAGTACCTCTGTAGCTGGCCTCACTGCCCAGTGCACAGCTGGTGGTGTAGCTGCCCTTTGACAGAGGGCCTTGCTTACACTGGAGGACAGCTCCATAGCACCTTTGTATATGGATTTCTTCAAGACAGATGGGTCTCACGTTGTCTTCATGTCCCCTTTGCTCACACCAAGTATGCATTCATGTAGAAATTAAGACCTTTAAGTTTTCCCTTGTGTGACTTTGTCCTTAGATTCATCCTCACCAATCTTATACCTGGTTTCTTTGTCATCACTGTTTCATAAGGTATTCTAATGAAAGTAAGGTTTTGCACTTGTCCTATTTCATTTACGGCTACGACAGACATTAAGCCTTAATTTTGAGTGTGCTTTACTTTCTAGCTAAACTACTAGACTAAGATTTCGCTTTTTCTTTGCAGAGTGTTCGACCTACACCACAAAATGACGCTATAACGGTACATTTTAAACCAGTTACATTAAAAGCTTCTGAAAGTAAATATACCAAGGTTGCAAGTATTAGTTTTGATGGTAAATATTCTTTTTTTTTCTATCATAGAGTGGTATTATTTTGATAAACAAGAAAGCATCTGTGTTGATGGATTAATATAGAAATCCAAATTTAAAAGTACTGCCTCAATTGATTTTTTCCCCTATAAAAATCATAACTAACTTTTTTGTTGTTGTTCATTTTGTTTTGTCTTTAGAGACAAGGTTTCTCTATGTAACAGCCCTAACTGCCCTGGAACTCACTTTGTAGACTAGGCTGGCCTTGAACTCACAGATATCTACCTGCCTCTGCCTCCTAAGTGCTAGGATTAAAGGCATGAGTCACCATACCCAGCTTAACTTATTTCATTCATAAAGTATAACTTCATAAACCTAAATCAGTATTCACAATCTAAAAACATTAGCAAATACATTAGGGTTGGAATATTTCTGTAATCTGGGATAACCAGTCAAAAGTGTCATAATTTATCTTAATTATGAAGTCATTGGTTGCTTTAATTAATGTATTTAAAGTTCAGAAGCACATTTAGGTTTGTAGGCAAAAATATTCTTTGTAACATTTTTATATGTTGACTTTTTAAGCAGACAGTCCTGCCTAAGCATAAATAATAGCCTTTATGTTATAATTGTCCAATTAGCTATTATTTCAGATATGTATAATATGTGTCATTTGAAATGTTATCCCACATCTATAGCCATAGTGCCCTGAATGTACCCAGTCTCACCTGAAACATTAACTCAGACTTAAGCATTTTTATAGTCGGTCTTTATTCCATTTTCATTTGTTTTCAGACAAATTCTTTGAATTTGCTGTTGCACATTTTAAATAATGACTTAACAGTTGCTTAACTAGATATATGATAAAATAAGAGCTGAAACTCAGAATAGAGCTGGTGTCTTCTGCAGCCTCTAACCCTGAACATGCCTCTTTCATCTAATCTACCTGTCTCATCTAAGCAAGGAGTCATAAAGCTGAAACTGGCGTTCTGACCACCCCATCTGCCCAGAGTCCACATTTCACAGATGAGGGTAGTCAGTGGGCGTGGCAGCACCCTGCTAAGCTCTGTGTCTGTGAAGGAGTCTGTGTATTCCTTAGTTCTGGAGCACTGACACAGGCTGCTGGTGCCCCTGCGAGAACTCCCAGGGAGTGGAAATGAAATATGTGACTATTTGATGGCACGTATGTAGACTTAGAATTACAGGGGTCTTGCTATCACAGCTCCATACATACCTGAGGTTGTCAGTGTCTTCTGTGCTGCTGAGAGACCACATTGATGACCATCTAAGAAGAGAGTAGCCACCAGTCATTCTGAGCCCTCAAAACACTTAAGCTACCTTAGTTGTCAACCTGAGAGATGGGCAAGTCCACCTCAGCCATGGTCCTGTGACATACCACCCCTTTATCCCTGAGGATACAAGGCTCCTCCCCTCCAGCCCCCTAATCCCAGCAAAAGTCTCCTCAGTGCCATCTGTGTGGTTCTTCTGAGGTTACAGGCTATAAATTATCTATTTATTTAATTTTTTCTGGTGCCAAGTATCAAACCTTAGACCTCACATGAACATGCTAGGCAAACACTCTACAGCTGATCTGTATCCCCCACCCTATAATGGTGGTCCTTTAAAAAAAAAAAAAAGGTTTTTGGTTTTGGTTTTTTTCCAAACAACTGCTAAATTTCCTTAAAGTACTTTTTAATGCCATGAAGAAATACTTTGACCTTTCACCTACTCATAGTACTACTGATCTTCCAACAGAACATACGTCTCAAAGGTTGCTGTGAGGGATGGCTCAGCAGTTAAGAGCACTTGTTACCCTTCCAGAGGACCCTGGTTCAGTTCCTAGCACCCAGCATGGGTGGCTCACAGCAGCCTGTAACTCTAGCTCCAGGCAGGCACGCGAGACACACACACACACACACACACACACACACACACACACACACACACACACACACACACACAATTTTTCAAATAATAAATTATTTTAAAGGGGTCGCTGTGAAATCACTCGGGAAATTGTGTTTAACTTGGGTATTTTCAGCGTTCACTATACGTTAGTGCTGTGGGGTTCATGTTTCAGACATCCTTCTCCCCAAAAAGTACTCCATGTATTTAACTGAATATTCTTGAGATTTTTAAGTTACTAAGTTAATAATACTGTGAAATGCCTGAATTACAGCCCTGTAATCAGCCTGACATCAGAACACTGAGAAATTTAAAGTATCCAGAAATAGCTCAGTTGAGAAAAGATGATAAGAAGAAATTTAAATCTGGAGTGCCTAAGAGTACATGGTGGGACGCTAGTCATCCTACCATTTCCTTGTCCTCTGCTTGTCCTGAAGTTGGGTGTCATACATTCCCAAGTAGAGGTGTGCCTGCAGGACATCAAAGGCGAGAACACTGAACTGCTTCTCCGTTTTCTCTGGAAGCAGCATCTGTCTAATGCGCACCCAGACTAGATGCGTCAAATCAGTCTCTTTGACTCCAGGAATCTAGAGCTTGACTTCCTCGGGGAGAGCATGAAAAGACGGATAGGATATGACAGCAGGAGAAGTCTGCCTCAGCTCGTATGCACAGCTCTCGCTGGCGAGTGGCAGAAGTAGGAGCTCATTAGTCTTGCCTTTCCTCTGTGCCACACTGCCTTATTGATACTTGCAGCAAGACTGGGGCCATACCAGGAGGGTTGCTTCTTTCTCATACAGCCTTGAGCCACCAGTGCTCAGTAGGTGGCAGCAGTTTTGCCTCCCAGGGGACACTTGGCAGTTTTCTGGAGACATTTTTAGTTGTCACAGTTGGAGGGAAGCTCCTGACATTTAGCAAGAGGAACCCTTGGGTACCGTTGGGTATCCTACACAGTGCCTGCTGTGGGAGTTAACCTGGCCTCAAATGCTTACCATGCTGAGATTAAGGTTAAAGAACCTGCTGTCCTAAATGTGACACCAGTGCCTCAAGTGACTTGTGTTCACTTACTAATGACTAGTCTGTCTCACCACTGGATTTTTATATAAAATATGTACTGTGTATGCAAGTGTTCTGTTTGCCAGTATGGAACCTTTTATTTATTTATTTATTTATTAATTTATTTATTTATTTATTTATTTATTTTTAGATCCTCTCAGTTTACATAAAATCACTCAGACTCCTAAGCAGTGAAAAGTAACAGAGGGTGAACTGCATGGCTCAGCAGCGCAGGTCCTGGCTCACGACCAAGCCTGACAACCTGTGTGTAGTCCCTGAAAATGCACATGGTGGGAAGAGACGAGACTCCCAAAGTTGTCCTCAGACCTCCGTGTTACAGGCTCACCTGCACTCACACGCATCACACAGACACACAAAATGAATAAATGCAATTTTTTAAGTTTGAAAAATACCTTCCCCCACACACACACACATAAATAAACCTTTAAAAATTACTTTTTTTTTTTAATGCTTCCTTTCAGCTTCAAGAGCAAAAAAGCCATCTCAGTTTTCTGGGAAAATAACTGTTAAAGCAAAGGAAAAGAGTTATTCTAAACTCGAAATACCCTACCAAGCAGAAGTTCTAGATGGGTGAGTTCCACCTTCAAAGCAGCTTTTAATGTTATAACTTTTGCTGATAGAGTTCATCTAACCAAATGGGATCATTGTGAGCTGTAACAGAAATCTTTCTGTATCTTGTTTATTTCTGACTTTCTAAGATGAAAAGAGAAAGCCAGGTGGTGGCGGTATACGCCTTTAATCCCAGCACTCGGGAAGCAGAGGCAGGCGGATCTCTGTGAGTTCGAGACCAGCCTGGTTTACAGAGCAAGTTCCAGGACAGCCTCCAAAGCCACAGAGAAACCCTGTCTCGAAAAACCAAAAAAAAGGGGGGGGAGATAAAATGGAATAATATGATTTATGTTAGAAGATTTAATGATTCAGAAATTAATCTGTGTTTTTTTAAATATTCAAATCATTTGAACCATTTTCATTCTGTTACTCTTTTTGTCACGTGTCAGACTCTTGTCACTCCTCTGTGACTTGACTCTAAGTCCCTCAGTTGACCCTTGGCCTCTGAGATGTAACTTTCTCATTGTACTTTTAGCAGTGTTTTATCAACACAACCTGATAGGTCCTCACCATAACCATGCTTGTCATGTTAGCCGTCCTAGTGGTGCATTCTTCATTCCAGCAATTTGATTTTGTGTTGTGAGTAGGGAACCATCTTTCTATTGCATTTCGGTATTTTGTAAGCTAAATTTTTTTGTTTGTTTGTTTGTTTTTTGTTTTTCTAGACAGGGTTTCTCTGTATTGTTTTGGAGACTGTCCTGGAACTTGCTCTGTAGATCAGGCTGACCTCAAACTCATAGAGGTCCGCCTGCCTCTGTCTCCCGAGTGCTAAAATTAAAGGCGTGTGCCACCACCAATGTCTGGCATGTAAGCTAAATTTTAAGTCGTGTGATCAGTCATATAGTTGTAAAGATAAATACCAATTCTATTCTGCGGTCCTTTATGTTATGTACACTACTTCTCATAACAAAAGAGCTTGGGCCTTAAGTTAACACATGACAATAAGGAGGATTTTTCTTGTTTTGTTTTCTTCCAATAGTTATTTGGGTTTTGATCACGCCGCAACGCTGTTTCACATCCAGGACAGTCCTGCTGACCCAGTGGAGAGGCCAATTTACCTGACTAACACTTTCAGTTTTGCAATCCTCATTCATGATGTGTTGTTACCAGAAGAAGCCAGAGCCATGTTTCAGGTACGGTTGAGCCCCTCTTGCTTTCATCTGCTGCTATACCACTAGATGGCGCTAACCTTTACTTTCTTCTCCTTTCCCCAGGTTCACAACTTCAGCAAACCAGTTTTAATTCTTCCTAATGAGTCAGGGTACATTTTTACCCTGTTTTTTATGCCATCCACATCATCCATGCACATAGACAGCAACATTTTACTTGTTACCAATGCCTCTAAGTTTCATTTACCTGTGCGGGTATACACAGGGTTTTTAGATGTAAGTATGTTGTCATGGTCCCTGATCTGTGCTTCTGGGTATTGCCAGGCAATTGGGCTGCACTCCTGTGTTTTATCCTTCCCAGTCAGTGTTTTCAGGATACAGTAGTATACCACCACCACCTACAAAGGACTCCTCCCAGGATCCTCAGAGAATTCTAAACCTAGGGGTTGTTATTCTTCAGTGTCCAATGGGAATTGGTCTTAGAATCCAGTACAGTATAATGGGTATTCCAGTCCATTATAGAAAATGGTGTAGTATTTGTAGGCAAGCAATGAAGTCCATGGATGTGGAACCCACTGATATAGAAGGCTGACTGTCCATACTGTGTTTTCCTCTAATGTATACAACTGAGTTTAACTTAGAGGAAGTAGTAGTAAAATGGAACCCTTAGGATAATATGTGATACGGTGCTGTAATTAAACTATTACTTTCACTTCGCCTTAAGGAAAGCACTTTATGGCTTTTCTTTGGCATATATGAATCCCTGGAATCACTGCCCTTGCTTCGTAGGGCATTTATAAAGCCAAATAAGGGTTGCTTGAACACAGGTGCTGTGCTACCTTCTGAAACCTACATGGTTAATGAGTGGGTAGCATATGCAGCATGGATATACAGGAGGAAGGGATGATTCATGTCCCCGATGGGACACCAGGCTTCCTTGACTACTCGAAGTAACATTTGAAAACTTAAGAATTACTTATTCTCTGGGATTTTTCCCATAATCTATTTGACTCCTTTAATTCCAGTCTCTACCTAGAGCTTTTCTACAGTGTTTTCTCTTGGTTTACTTTTAAATTATAATGACAGAAAATCTAAGACAAAGATAAATGGAAGGAGAATAATAGGCAGGAACAACATTAGGAAGTAAAGTGCCAACCTTGATTGTTAAAGCTGGAAATACCAGGACAGAGCAAAGCGCTAGAGAGCGAAGAAGAAAACTGGGTAGTGAAGATACACGTGTGGGCAAGTAAGATAAATGTAACACAGCAGTAAGGCATAGAGGTCTTCACGGGGCAGAAAACAGGTCAGCAGGAAAATTCCAGACAAAGCTGTGGGGAATATGGCCACTGAAGGAAATTTGGATAAGTAATGAAACTGTCGGGAAAGAAAAAGGTGGGGCGTCAACTAGACTTGTAGAGCTAGGGGGCTCAGTATTACCCCACCCTGTCAGATGACTTATTTGTAATCATGCAGGGCCTGTTGAGACCACAAACTTTCTGCCTAATTGCCGAGGGCTCCCTAGCTTCTCCTTGTTCTTCTGGGAAGTGACTGCTCAAGAAATGGTCTCTTTCCATCCCTCCTTCCTCTGATTGTCTTGTTCAAAGTTCTCGCTCTATCATGTATCTGTATACACAGACGTAAGGTACAGAAACTGTAGTGTCTCCTAGAGGTCGCTTTCTTTGGTAACATTCTATTACCACATGTGATTTGGTGTTTAATACAGTCCTTTTCTTTCCCTCCAGTACTTTGTATTGCCCCCCAGAATAGAAGAACGCTTCATAGATTTTGGAGTACTGAGTGCTACAGAAGCAAGTAATATTTTGTTTGCAATTATAAACAGCAATCCAATTGAGGTAAAGAAATTATTTTTATTTTCAATCACACTGAGGATTTCATGTTTGTGTTGCAAGATTACTTTTGTGTTTTCTTTTTGAAGCTGGCTATAAAAAGTTGGCATATCATAGGAGATGGCTTATCAATAGAACTTGTAGCTACAGAGAGAGGCAACAGAACTACAGTGATTGCAAGCCTTCCAGAGCTGGAGAAGTCCTCATTGCCTGACCAATCCCCAGTAAGTGAACTGATACTGCTTCTTTGGGTTAGAGTGGGTGTTTAAGCCACAAGGAAAAGAGTACTGTTGTGTGTATCACTCAACTAGTATTTTGATGTGCTTCCTAATGATAATGACTGGTAGGCATTGGAAGGGCCTCATGGAGATCTTCTACTCCCCTAAATCCCTTTTATGATGAGGGAGGGCACTGAAGCCCAAAGACATTAAGCCTACCTTATTGTGAGTGGCAGAGCAAGAAAAATTGGAATGATCCAAGTGTCTTCAGTGAGTCTATAATCTACAGTACTCTGTGCATGAGATTTGGCAACTTGATAACCATACTGGTCTGTGTGGGTACAGCTTACCGCTAGGATGCTTCTTCCCACTTCAGTAGGAGACTTCATCTTGCATGGCTAGTGAATGATGCCATTTTTACTGTTTCAGGTAACACTGGCTTCAGGACACTTTGCAGTGTTCAGAGTCAAACTTACTGCCAAGAAACTAGAAGGGATTCATGATGGAGCCATACAGATCACAACAGACTATGAAGTAAGCAGAGTACTGGAGAATTCATGCCAATGAATTTTTCTGAAACTTTTGTTGTTATTAATCGTGCGTATTTATAGGGCTTTTTAGTTTTTGTAGAAGCAGAGACCTACATTTATTTAAAGTTAGTGTACCAGTTTCATGCCTTTAAAACTGACCTTTTAAGAACCACTTCAGAAGACTGGTTCATTGCCTCTAGTTTTCTGCTAACGCTCATACTTTCTAACTAAAACATGACTTTAGAAAAGCACGCTTAGCACATTTAAAATTACCCTATTAAAAAACCTGCCTACAAAAGTTGCCACATAACACAGGTCTGGCTGGATTTCTGAGCTGCATGTCTGACTCCGCAATCATTAGTGTCCTTTTTGCAAAATGTTATGTTCGTGTAGAGTTTATGTTGTATTCATTCAGTAAGATCCTGAATGCATGTATTTCTCAGTCTTATTTTATACTTTTGATTTTTTGATGAAGATACTAGAACTTACTGGGTAGCCTAAACCAACCTTGAACTAGCAGCCTTCCTACTTCCTCTTCTCAAGGACTGGGGTTATAGGTGTAGGATTGTTTGCCTGCCTCACACCTAAATATTTTTAACTGAATACTTAAAAGATCTTTGAATAGTTAAGTACTGCTGAATTCAGCAAGGTGATAGCTTTGTCCTCCTGAGTGTTTTTAGCACACACAAATCCACTGGCAAAATAAACAGAACTGGCTGTTCAATAATAAATGATTAGTATATCAAATTACCTCCAAACGTGAGGGATTCATGCTTAATGTTCATATAGAAGTGCCTTTCAGATCGAGACAAGTTTTGTTAAGTGGATGGAAATAACAATTAAACCCAAGGGGCCGGGAAGATGGCTCGGCAGTTAATAGCACTGGCTGCTCTTCTAGAGGACTCAGGTCCATTCCCAGCAGTACAGGGTAGCTCCTGTAGCTCCAATTCCAGGGGTTTCAGTGCCCTCTTCTGGTCTCTGCAGGCACCAGGCATACATGTGGTAGTTATGCAGGCAAAATACTTATACACATAAAAATTAATTACAAAAAATAAGATTGTAAAAGTTAAATACTCTCATACAGTGCATTCATAGCTCATTTGTGGTGCTAATTAGAAGTAAGCTGAAATTCTAACTCCAGAGTATTCAATTTGTCTTTGAAACTTGGGTTGAAATCTATTTTTGTCTACCATAAAAATACTGAGTTATTTAGCTGTAGAAATCCTGGATTTTTAGAGATGCTGTTTTAGGAGTACAGCTTTCCTTTTTAATCTCTAAAAGGACTTGCATTTTGAAAAATCTGTCTTTATTCCTTCCCTATGACTTGGTCTTAACTGTTTCAGCAGGTAAGTGAGTAGTCACTAGAAATGTATTGTTGTCATTTTATAGAGAACCTTGAGCACATTAAAAAGCTTCCAGGGTGGTTCAAAACTGATTTTGAGTTATTGCCAGCATATGACACAAAATGCTTTGTTTTTAACCCCTAAAACAAGGAAGTAATTGTCAGTACCAAACACCCCAGATTTCTCCCCTGACTTCATGATGGTCTGTCTTTTTCACTCCACAGATCCTAACCATTCCTGTGAAAGCTGTGATTGCAGTGGGCTCACTGACCTGCTTCCCAAAACACATGGTCCTTCCCCCTTCCTTCCCAGTAAGACAATTTGTACTTCTTCTTGCTGTTTTCCACTGCCTTTATCTCTGTGTTTATAGCTCAAACGGAGAAGTCATTTACTGTTTTCATCATTTACTGTAAGATGAAGCATTGTGCCAGATTCTTTAGAGGATACAAAGTAGGATAAGAAATAGACCCCTCCCTCAAAAAGACTTTCTATGAAGAATAGGCACTGGAGCCTCGCTTTATATAGAGAGTAGAGATTGCTCTAGGAAGAATAAAATAAAGGGGCTTAGGGAACAAGCACCCTGCAACCTAACTTAGGGCTTCTTCTGGCAGGGATAAAAAAGGGGGGAGATAATGACATCCAGGGCTAGGGGAGAACATCATCAGGAGGGGGGGGGTAAAGTCACAAGTGGTCCAGGTAGTGCTGAGTGATCCACCCTGGTCATCATTGAGTGCCCTGATGGGGTCAACAAATTGAGGCACCTGGGGGTAGGAGTAGACAGAGGACTCAACCATGCTTTAGAGTATGAGCCGTGAGAAAGGTGCTAGTTTTTTTGAGGAAGAGCCAGGATGCATTGGGCAAATGTAGAAATGTTTCTTCCTGGGATAGAGGTCTAGGGACAGGAGATATGAGTGCTATACTTAACAAAGCCTAAATTCGAGATTGTACCCTTTTTGATATAAAATTGATATAAAGTTGAACATATTTAAATTTTGGCTATAATTAAGCCCCCACCTTCCTGTGATTGTACTCTGTCTGGCTGTATATTAAATCCATGCCTTTATTATTAATCCATAAGAACCTTAGTTTTCTTTAGTCACCTTTTGGACCTTGATCTCCTTACCCTCTGCTGAGTCCTGAAAGGGACTTAGAGCTCTTGGAGGGAAACAATATGACAGAAAACATTTCAAAGAACTCAAGGATGAATATTTGAGTAGAGTTGTAAAAGGAATTGTATTTCTCTTTTGATCTCCACAAGGCCTAAGAGCTGAGGCTGGGAAGAAGTTATGATAGGTACAGAAACCTAGATGACTGCCAGGAAGGCCCCGCTACTCTCTTCCCTCCCAGCCGCATATCCCCCTAGGGGCTTGCCAGGGTGTTTCTTTTCACCAGGCTGTAAATAAGGACAGCATTTAACGCTTCTGGGCATCCTCTTCTTCTGTGTCTTTTAGTACCAAATATTAGAAAAGCAAGTTTGTCAAAATGTTCTAACTAGGTAGGAATCACATGTACAAAAAGTGTAATTCTGTATTCAACCAAAAGAAAGTGTAAGCTCATAGTATGCTTCTTGGGGATGATTCTAATCTTTTTCAAATTCATCTAGAAAAATGAAGTTAGCACCTGATAAGAACGGTCACTGATTAAGACTAATCTGTGGGGCTGGAGAGATGGCTCAACAGTTAAGAGGAGCTATGGCTCTTTTAGAGGGGATGGTTCAGTTCCCGGCACCCACATGGCCACTCGCTGTCATCTGTAACTCCAATTCCTGGGAATCTGACCTCTTCTGGCCTCTGAGGGTTTCACACATGCACATAGTGCATTTTACACATGTGCAGCCAAATCATTCATACATATGAAATAAAAATAAATAAATCTTTTTTAATTTATATACTGTTTTCCTAAGATTCTTACTAGTGTATGTTTTTACTTCTAATTACTGTTTTCTGAGACAAGGACTGTATGTAACTCAGTCCTCTGGCCTTAGTCACTCAAGTGCTGAAATCACAGGTGTGCCAGTTGATAGCTTATACTTTTTAAAGAGATCTAATTTTCTCTTTGGTGGTAAAAATTATGTTGTTTTTATAAAGAAAACCTTTTCTTTTGAAAAATATGTTTTATTGCTATTTGGTTAGGTCTTAGAATTAATTCATTTATTTCAGGGCCACCTTACCGTGGCATAAGCAGACTTGGTCTTACAAACCAGAAATGACCCTCTTTATTTGAAGCTCCCTTCTGTGTCTTCTTGGTGTACTCGATGTATCAACATAAAACCGAATTTTCCCTTAATTCATTACAATACTTCTGTAATATACCATAGCAGCAATAGCTGCTATGGATTCTGTTCTTCTGATTTGGTGTTTTTCTTTTGAATGAGGGGATGGATTTAGGGGTCAATTACAGATTTAAAGATTATCAACTGATGAAAATTTCAAATTTCAGAATGCTGTCACATTGACAGTGTTGCTAAGAAATTCATACACTCTTATTTCCTCTTTTCTCCAGTGCATGGTCATCTATAACTGAAGTTTTTGTTTTTCTTCCTTCAGGGGAAAATAGTTCATCAGAGCTTAAATATTATGAATTCCTTCTCACAGAAGGTGAAGATACAGCACATACGGTCTTTGTCAGAAGATGTACGGTTCTACTACAAACGATTACGGGGCAATAGGGAAGACTTGGAGCCAGGGAAAAAGTCAAAGGTTTGTTATGTTTGGGAAGTTCCAGCTGTCAGTACTTTGTGAATGGAACCGTTCGTGGATTCGGCATTCATGATTATTCTGTGCTTCTTTATAGATTGCAAACATTTATTTTGATCCTGGGCTGCAATGTGGGGATCACTGTTATATTGGCTTGCCTTTTCTATCCAAATGTAAGTCTTCTTGTTCCCTCTCATGCCTTTGCTCTCTCCACCAAAAAGTGATGCCAACTTTGAGAACTGTAGAATTCACTAGAAGGGGAATTGGCAAGTGAGTTAGATTGAGTTCTGACGTGTGCTTCCTCTTTTAGCTGAACCCAAGGTGCAGCCCGGGGTGGCCATGCAGGAGGACTTGTGGGATGCCGACTGGGACTCACATCAGAGTTTGTTCAAAGCTTGGATGGGAATAAAGGAGAACGCAGGTCATAGGTAGGAGTCTCTGCTTCATTGAAGGATTTATGTCACTGGGATTTCATATCATTTACTTTGCTTTACAGCTAAGATAATGGGCCTAGTTCAGAGTGTTGTGACATTGACAGTGTTGCTAGGAAATCCATACACTCCTATTTCCTCTTTTCTCCAGTGCATGAGGTCTGTCCTTAAAATCAAAGAAATTTGACATTGTCCTTATTTAGTGACCGCCACGTTCACCTTAGACACAGTGTTATGCGTGAGAAAAAAAGATTTGTTTGCCACTGACCTTCCCGAAAGGCAAGTTAGGCTCACTCCCTATAGGAGACCAAATTTATGTGCCCCTAGTAAACAAAGCTACCTCCTTCTTCAAGTGCTTCTCTGTCCAAATTGCAGATAGAAAATATGCTCATGGGAAACCATTATTACGCCTGGATTCAAATATTTCAGATGCAGTTTTTGTATTATAAAAGCCTGGCCCTTTCATACACGCAAGAAAGAATTTTTCCAGAAACATTGACAAGTAGACTAGATATATATTTGTCAGAATTAAAATAGTCTACCATAAGAGTGTGATGAAATTCTTAAATCATTAACTACTTTTTTTTATTAACTTTTTAGTTAGCACATAAAGAATGGTTATCACTGACATTTTCATGCATACATGACTATACTTACTATTCTTACTAGTACCCTTCTATCCCTTAGCTGGTTCCCTTCTTCCCCTTAGAGGGACCCCCCTACTTCTGTTCCATGACATATTTTCCATTACCTCCTCTTAGTGCTACTTTTTCCTTCCTTGAGGCCTTCCCTTCTCCTGGTTCCCTTTCTACTTGTGGCTATTTTAAATAGTGCAGTGAAAAATATGGCTTTTTGCAGGTATCTCTACAGTATGCTGACTTAGCAACCTTAGGGAATGTCCCCTGGAGAGTAGAGATATAATAGTTTTCAAGGAACCTCCGTACTAATTTTTATAATGGCTGTGCAAGTTTACATTCTCACCTGCAGCAAGCACACGATCACCCCACCCATCCTCACCAATGTTTGTTGTTGGCGGTTGGTTGGTGAGGGTGTGGGTGTGTGTGGGGGTGTGGGTGTGTGGGTGTGTGGGTGTGTGTGTGGGTGTGTGGGTGTGTGTATTTTTCAGTAATAGCTAGCCACCACTCTGAATCTCAAAGCAGATTCAGATGTGGGCTAAGGATTTGAGCACTTTTTCAAATGTTTTGGACATTTTTATTTCTTCCCTTGAGAACTGTCTGCTCAGCTCAGCTCATGAGTTCTTCTGTCCACTGGATGGTTCAAACCATTAACTGTTGAAACTGAGAGATTCTATATTGTAGAAAGGTTCTGTAAAGAAAGTTAATTTTTTTTTCATTAAAAATGGTTCCACTGAGTATGCAAAGACTTGTAATAAACTTGCAAAGACCTTAGTGATTAAAACTCTCCTTTGTTCCCAGTGTCTCCACAGTAGACCTTGTAAAGTATAGTCTCCAAGTGATAAAGTCCAAGTCTGAATGAATAACTCATTAGTGCTGCCTGGGTTCAGCAGCCGGGTAGCCTCTTCACCACCACATGTCTTCCTTCCAGTATACCTATCTAAGACCCTGGAATCCCATCTGCCTTCTGCCTCCCTTTCCTGCACAATGAGTAAAGCATTCTCCATGCATCTACATTTGTATTACCCTGTTGTTATACGTGTTTCAAGATATTTATGCCTCTTGTTTTATAATGCCTATATGTGTATGTTTTCCAATATCCCAGGTCATAATTCAGTTGTACAGGAATTGAGTATGCTTCAGGGGTTGTCCCAGTCCCTTAGCCCCATTTATAAATACATTCTGAGTCCTGAACTCGTGACTCTTAACAGTCATTAGTAGGGTCTATTGGCATGAGGTTCTGAGTTAAGACTGAAAACGCTCTATACTCTTGGTTTATTACCTCTTGTGACATCCTCATCATGTGCTGATCTTATCTTGTTTTATATCTAGAGGGAAAACAGTGTATCAAGCAGCACCACTTGTCATTAGTCCTATTGGAAATCTCCCAGCACCCTGATGGGTATCCACACCTTGCCATACATGCCATGGAAGAATCTTACAACCCTTGAATAATAGATACATATGTCCTAAATGGTGAATTTGTACTTTTAAAGTTTTTTGAGGACGAGGCTGCCGATGAAGTTCATTGGTCAGTGTTTGTCTAGCACACAGAAAGTGCTGGATTCTATCATCAGTACCACAAAGGAAAAAAATTTATTTGAAGACATATGTCCATTTCACCAATGCTACTAGAATTAAAACGTGTCGCCCTTCACATACTCAGTACAGAACTATAGCAGGAATTGTTATATTGACAGCCCTTTGTGCCAAAATAGAGACACATCATACATCATTGAAAGAGTAATAAAGTTGCATGCCCAGTAATAAAGGGGGCATCTCTATCACATCCTGTAAGACCCTGGAAATATCACCAAAGAGGAGAAGGAGCATACAGGCCAGGGGAAATGGAGGTGGTAGTGAGGAATGCCGACTTCTCGACATGACATAACTATTGCACCCTTGAACTCACAGCTGTGATCACCTGTGCAAGATCTCCACAAGACCAGACCTTTCAGCGCCCTAATGGGAAATGGGGTGAGGTTCCATGATAATTTAGGCAGATAGTGGTTGATGTGGGAGGGAAAGACATGTTTTCCAGTGGTATAACTGCTGGTAAGGTAAACAGACTCCCACTCCCACACTCCTGTAAACTACCCTAATGAAACTCATTGGGTCACCACCACCACCCCTGAAAAACTGAAAATGGCAGGGGCGACAAGACAGGGTAATGAGTATTGAAAGAAATATATCATGTATATGTGCAAAAGTAAAACTAATCTCATCGTACAATATTTAACATTTTAAAGCTTAAAAACTCTTTTTAAAATAGAATAAGCTTTTTTAAGAACCAGAATTAAAATCTTAAGTACAATTTCTTACATTCAGAAAACTCAAATGTTTTGCTTTTGTACACTGACGTAGAAATTGTCTTTCTAGGTTGAATGCTATGTTTGAAGTAAATACAGACCTTCAAAAAAATATAGTATCAAAAATCACTGCTGAGCTCTCCTGGCCTTCCATCCTTAGCTCTCCCCGACATGTGAAGTTCCCACTCACTAATACTAACTGCTCTTCAGTAAGTACTCAGTTGATGCGGATGTTCAGACATGGCTCCAGTTAGGAAGTAGCTCCTCTAGCTCTGTAGGATCTCCACTAACATATCTTGGCTTTGCTTTAAGGAAGAAGAGATTACCTTAGAGAATCCTGCAGACGTTCCTGTCTATGTCCAGTTCATTCCTCTGGCTTTGTATTCCAACCCTTCCATTTTTGTAGATAAGTTAATCTCAAGGTAAGCATTGCTTTAGATAGCCAAACCACAAACTTAGAGTCGGGCTCTGTAGTTGAAGTTCCCAGAAGTTTCCTGGGATTGGGTTGATCTTGAGCATCAAGAAAAGCTCAAAGGAACGTAAATATGGAGCTACCATTTATGATTTGTAAAGAGACAGTAGACAAAGCAATTCCAGTATTTTCCTTCTTAAAAAGTGAACAAGATATTAAACCTTTTAAATGTTCTTAATATGATATAATAATACTGGTCCTAAGGCCTGCCACAAGATAAATTTTTGAGTAAAGCTCGAGTTCGATAATCCTCCACAATCCCTAGTTGTGATGTTTATTAAGATGAATGCCCATTTTTTATTTTAGGTTTAACTTGAGTAAGGTGGCCAAGCTAGATCTGAGGACACTTGAATTCCAAGTCTTCAGAAACAGTGTAAGTACAAACTCCACACCACTTACATCTGCTGGGACCAGGGCCAATGGGAAGGGTACCTACAGCCCTTAAGCTGGGCGGAAGGCAGTTACTGCAGAAGTCAAAGCAGTTCAGGAATTGATTTAGGGGCAGAAGAAACCAGGAAGAGTGGGTAGATACATGGGCAGCATACTGAGAAGGCTCCTCTTTGTGGATGTTAATTTTACAGTCAGCCCACAACAACCTGTCATAATATAGACTAGAAATTCTGAGACCATACACGAGGTATACTAATGTGACATTTTATTTTTATTAAGCATTAAAAGATTCAGCTGAATCACTTAAACTTTCTTCCCATGTGCTTCCTAATACAATTGTAAAAACCCATGAATTTGAAACCTATAACTGACTGTGTTCATACCTGGCACAGCTGTGTGCGTTCAACTGAATAGATGATACTGATTTTAAAAACGAACAAGTAAGTTGATTTGTTCTGGGAATGAAAGTGTCCTCTATTATTCAAGTAAGTGGCCACTCATCATTGCATCAGACTTTGAAGGAAGGCAGCACTGAGAGTCAAATGCCTGCAGCCTGCCTGGGCTCTCTTGCTTCACTGCCTTTCTGCCCAGAGCCAGACTCAAGCCTCATTCAGATCCAGGACGTTTGTCCTTTCTGTAGGATCACCTAGTGCTGTGTAGAAAGTGTTCCCCTGCCATGCCCAACCAGCTGCCTTGTAGTAACTCAGCTCTGCCACTGCTCCAGTCAGAAGGCCTAGAACAGGAGATAGCGGTTTAGACGGTCCTGGGATTCAGTGTCTTTCTCATGGGATCTTGCTTTGCTTCTCCCATCCATTAAATGTCATTATAGCAAGCAGCACATTGGAAGTAAGTGAGAATGCTCATTGACTAGAACCTGGTGTCTTCTGCCTTTGTAGGGAAAATAAACAGAAGAAGGAGATGAGCTAACACTGTGTTCTTAAAAGTTGGTCTCATACAGCATTACCTGCAAGGCATGATGCACTAAACTAGACTCTAGATAATAATAATGAGTATTCTGGACCTTGGGAATGTTCTAAGGAAGAAATTCTAAGGGTGAAAGCATAATTGCTTCTCTTTCTGTCATGTACAGTGCCAGAGAGACATGAATAGCACATTGAAATTTAATAAACCATGTTTGTTTTTGTTTAAAGACTTTTTCATTACAAGTACAGACAGTAGCTACAAGGGAGATTTAACATCACTGTCTGAGTTCACACCTCAGAGTTGGCAGTGTTAGCCACCACTACTCTTCTGATCAATAGTACAAATGGCATCCTAAGAAAAGCAAGTAACATCTGTCTATATTGTTATGAGAAAGATTTCTGAGATACTTAGGGATCCCTTGGTCAGTCTGAGAGCCCACCACTCTACAACTATGGTGTCCTTAAGTACTGTTTCGGGGCATCATACCATCCTGAAGAGCTTTCCAGGCCATCAGAGTTTAGATAAGCTAGTATTTATTGGAATATATACAGTCTACCATTGTGTCAAAACACACATTCAATCCCAGCACTCAGGAGACAGAGGCAGATGGGTTTCTGAGCATGTGAAGCCATTCAAGGCTACATAGGGAGCCCTTGTCTCAAAAGGCAGCATGGCAAGGTCCATGTTACCAAGAATAGCTTATTTTAAAAGGAAGTTATTCACCAATCACTTTGGAACAGTCAGAGTATTCCATTATCCTAGATATTAATAGAGAACAGTGTTGGCTGTAAAAGAAAACATTTTACCTCATAAGCAAGAGCTGGTGATGTACTTTGTCAAGTACATTATGGTACATTATGTTTCACAAGTAGATGGATCTGTGTGTATTAACCCTAGCCGTACAAAGGAAAGTAGAGAATGCCACAGAACTCAATCTTTCTAGTATGTCATCAGAACCATGCCAACCCATTCCCAGAGTGTTTAGTCTTCTTTGAAAACCAGAATAATATATCTTTGTGTTGAAACTGTGTTTTTTTTTTCATTAAAAACAAAACAACTTTGAACCATATTTTTAACTGGTCATAAATTCTCATTTTAAATTTCAAACTAAGTTATGTCTTAAACTTCAATCAGGTGTCTGCAAAGCATTGGTTAGGTACCTAATTTTCAAATAAGATTAAAGATTGATCAGACTGTACCTATGTTGACAGCGCATTCACTCTGAATTTCATTTGGGGGCTTCTACACTTCCTGCACAGTCTGCTGTATCAGTAGGAACTTGGGTGCTAATTATTGGTCTACCTGTCTTCCAGTCATGAGTGTCGGCTTTGTATTAATGTATCAAGCAGTTGTCCTTTCCTGTATGTGAGTTGTACTGAAATTTAAAAACATACACGCGTTTTTAAAAATATATATGTATACAAATATAAAATGCATGACACAAACATGAGGACTTTAGTAACCTAAAAGAATAAATTCTGTTTTTCAGCTTAATGCAGAATATGAAGTCCCCTTAAACTGGCTACCCAGCTCTCAATGCCAGGGTCTACATCATGAAGGATAAATTTATCTATGTGGCCAGTTTGAGAGGCTGTGCTGGGATCTGGAGGGATAAGGGACAAATGGTTAGTCCAGAAACCATATTAATGATTCCTTTTGTTTATACAATGACTCAAGGCTCACCCCCTGCAGAGTCCAACAGGATTTACGGAGGGCCTCTCTCGACATTATATTTTAAACCTCATTTTAAAACCTGGAGAAAAGAAATCTGTCAAAGTAAAGTTTACTCCACTTCACAACAGAACTGTTTCTTCACTGATCATAGTCAGGTACGTTCTGTGATGCGCATGGATTCATTTTTCAGTACTTACCTTCAAATCCTTGTGTCACTCAAAACCATCAGCAGCATCTTCTCTACCATGTGTGACTTATAATGAAAAGTGTGTACTTTGTGAATTTTTTACATTTTCACCCTTAAATTTGACATGTTAATAATTTTTTGTGGTTGCTTACAAAAATGTTAGAACTTCTAAATCAAAAGATATGCAAAAATTAAATGGGGGAAAAGGTGTAATTCTTATTCTTTCATAGAAACAACCTGACTGTGATGGATGCTGTAATGGTCCAAGGTCAAGGGACAACCGAGAACTTGAGGGTGGCAGGCAAGCTTCCAGGTCCAGGAAGTTCCTTACGCTTCAAAATCACAGAAGCACTGCTGAAAGACTGCATAGACAGTGAGTATTCCTAACTGTGAAGGGCCCAGCTTCTGGCATTTGCTTTCAAGAATGTTTCCATATGTGCATACCTGCCTTCCAGTCATTAATGTTTATGATGCTTTGTCTTACATTCAGAGTTGTTTGATTTGGATCTCTGGCAGGTTTATTCTGAGTATGAAAAGTAAAACAAATCATTTTTACCATGGTGTATGAAAGTCTAGTAGGGTGATACATTCCTGTAAGCCTAGCACTTAGGTAGCTGGAGCAAAGGATTGTGAGTTCTAAGCCAGCCTAAATTACCTTGTGAGTACAAGCTGGATCAGGTGTACATACAGAGACTTTACTGCCAATGAATGAATGAATGAAATCTATTAATCAGGAATAAAATGATAGATCAAAATGGAGTGTTTCCAGATGAAACCTGAGAAATGCTGATCTCTTTGGCATGTGGGGTTGACTCATAATGTCCAGCAAACAGAAGCTTGCAACATATACCTCATACACCCTGGAAGTACATGATAGCAAGATTTATCCATACATCTGATTTTTCCCCCTTTAGGTTTGAAACTAAGAGAGCCAAATTTCACATTGAAAAGAACATTCAAAGTAGAGAATACCGGACAACTTGAAATCCATATAGAAACCATTGAAATCAGTGGGTATGCCTGTGAAGGCTATGGCTTTAAAGTGGTTAACTGTCAAGAGTTTGCACTGAGTGCCAACACCTCTAGAGACATAATCATACTGTAAGTATGTGCTTGTTCATACTGGCTTAATTCAGTGACTAACTTTCCACTACTAACACTACAGCCATTTCATCAAAGATATATTTCCATACTTAAAAATTAAAAGGTTTTTATCAGGGGCTACAGAGATGGCTCCTTGGTGGGTTTGATTCTCAACACGTGCATAATGGCCAACAACCTTCTGTAATTCCAGTCCTTGGAGGATCTGTTCTCTTCTGATCTCTGCAGGGTCTGCATGCATGTATTGCACAGACATACATGCAGGCAAAAAACCCATTCACATATGAAAATAAGTAAATGATTTTTTAAAAAAAGAAAAAGGTCTATCACAAATGGTTTTTTTTTCCAACTTCAGCTAATTGTATGTTTTTCTTTCCAACATTGTAAAACTTTCTCTGCCATTAAATTGGATCAGATAATCTTAGAAACTACTTTTTTAGAAACCAATTTCAATGTTATTTTTAATGTTGTTATAAAGCATAAGATGTTAGTGAGGCTCAGAGGTGTCTCAGCCACAGGACAGAGACCTGTACCCACTCCATTGCTTCTGTGTGGTCTAAGAATGTAAACTTACTCAGAAGACAGCCTTTAGGCCCTCAGTATTAGATGCAGTTATTTTAGTAATTGATAACTTACTACAAAGTAATAAATATGACCCCTGCCCTTGATTAGATAACATTTCTATGACCTGTGGCTGTTGAATCAGCACTTTCATGTATATTACCATATGCATGGCATACTGCTTGCCACCTGAATGTCCAGGGAGGAAGGAGGCACCTGCTCAAAGTGTGCACAGCTAATAAAAGGCAGCACAGGTGACAATAAGCAATAGGAAGGAAGTGACAAAACAACACTAGGAATGGGATTGGGTGTTTTCGTTTTGTTAACAAAGTCATTAGGAATAAAGCCTAGATTCAAAAACAAAACAAAGACAGGGACCAGAAAAGAACCACGTAAACCTGTTTCACACTGACCCTCACCACTGTCCTTGTCTTAGGTTTACTCCAGATTTCACAGCTTCCAGAGTTATTCGGGAACTGAAGTTTGTAACAACCAGCGGCTCTGAGTTTGTGTTTGTACTGAATGCCTCCCTTCCGTACCACATGTTAGCAGCCTGTGCAGAAGCTCTCCCCAGACCCAACTGGGAGCTAGCTCTGTACATCATCATCTCAGGAGTAATGAGGTACAGTGTGCTCCTTCAAGATTGGCTCTCACTCACTCGGTGCCCACTCTGCCTCACACTTTTCTCAGGGATGGGGTATCCCAGCAGACAAAGCAGACACCCCTGATTTGGTCAAGCTTGTTTGTATACTGGTGGAACAATTACAACTGAACCATTCTTGGGTGGCATATATAATAAAGAATTCCTTTTACCTTTAGTCTATGCTGATTTCATAAGGAAGAAGGCACAAAATACCAGGTAACATTGCCTTACTTGGGCATATGTAATTAATGTAATTATATGCCTAAGCAACATAAAACAGTAGAAATATTTTTGAAGACCTTTGCATCCTTATCTTTTTTCTGTTTTTTAATGAATTTTAGAGAATCAAGTATACTCACATGTATAATTTCTAGCTACCTTACACATCCTTAAGGGAAAGAGAGTTGGCCCTCCATCCATTCCCTCTTGTTAAGGAAAATCTAGGCTGCAGGTGTCTTCACACAAAACTTGTGGGTAAGGTCCTGACTTTTAAAGTTGGTGTGCAGAGGTTGGAGGGACAGCTTAGTGGTTAAAGAGCACTACTGTTCTTCCTCAGAACCTGGGTTCAGTTCCCAGCACCTACAGGGAAGCTCACATAAGTCTATAACTCCAGTTGCAGGAGATCTGATCCCTCTTCTGGCCTCCATTGGCACTACATGCACACAGAACACCAACATACAAGACACCACCTACACGCAAAATATAGAAGTAAATTTCAAAAGAATAAAGTTGGTGTACAAACTTTGATCTATAATGCTTTATTTTTGTCTTGTCTTTTAAAAATGTATTACAGGCATGTGTAGTTTTTTTTTTACATAATATTGTAGTTACGCCCAAAAATATGTAATAGCCAAATACATTAGTCTTGTCTTGGCAGAGAATACTGACTCCTCCCTCTGTGTTCCACAGCGCACTGTTTCTCCTAGTCATTGGAACAGCCTATTTGGAAGCTCAAGGAATTTGGGAGCCATTTCGAAGGCGACTGTCCTTTGAAGCCTCCAACCCACCCTTTGATGTGGGAAGGCCATTTGATCTCAGGAGGATCGCTGGTATTTCATCTGAAGGAAAGTATGTGCACGTGCTGGAAACCCACTCTCTAGTACACATAGACTTGGCTGATGTAATTACAAGAAACAGAGATATGTCTTCATTCATGGTTAAAATAATTTCCAATTCCCACCTTGTATCTGGCACTCAGTTACTGAGAACTCATACAAGATTTCTTATCAGGGACAAACTCTGCGTAGTTATTAGACCACTAACCTGATTTATAATTTCCAGAGGAAATGAGCTGTAGAAAACTGTGTGGCTGTTTTTTCCTAGTTTCTCTTTATGATGGATATACTGATGGAGTTTTTTTCTTAGCGTTTGATTGGAAGTTGCTGCTTACTGATTTTCAATTGGTCCATTTTTCAGCTTGAACACACTCGGCTGCGAACACAGTCATGGTAGGGGTTTCTATAGCAGCTCATCATCGTCCAGGCCTGGTACGGGGAGTCACAGACAGTGTGGTACATCAGTCCATCCACACAGCAGCCACAGCAGCAAAACCTCAGCTGACGTGGACAGTGTCAGAACCAAAAACAATTCAAGCATGTCAAACAGGACTTCTGCACAAGCAGCCACCTCACAGTCTACAAGCAAAACAAGTCCCCTAGTCTTAGAGGCAAATGCAGTGTCCCAGAGTCACACAGCCAGCAGAAAGTCCAAAGGGACGAAGCAAAGCCAGCACAGCAGCCAGCACCATGGCCACAGTCCGCTGGAGCAGCACTCACAGCCTCCACCACCACCAGTGCCTCAACACCAGGAGCCACCCCCTGAAAGGCTGTCTCCTGCCCCCCTCACACACTCTTCCCACCCAGAGCGAGCCAGCAACACACGGCACAGCTCAGAGGACTCCGACATCACTAGTCTCATAGAAGCCATGGACAAAGACTTCGACCATCATGACTCCCCACCCCTAGATGTGTTTACAGAGCAGCCTCCATCACCGTTGTCAAAAAGCAAAGGTAACCCTCCCTCCCCCTTCAAAAGAACAAGCGCATGAGGGGGTGGCATGATCAGGACAGTCAGGGTTGTGATCAGTATAAGCAGCCACTGTGGCATGCGTTTGGTAGCTCATACCCATTTCCTGCGTGAAGTAATGGGTTTTCTGTGTCACAGAGCCAACCGAAGCAACCAATTGTGCTGAAAGATAGAGCTGTATTCTCTTTGCTTCTCCAGATCAGAAAGCTGTTAGGTGGCATATCCTTTTGGCTGCCTGTGGTAACTGTGTAATGGTCATTGTTTTGAAAATTGGATTAAAACCAAAACCATATACCTTTTAACTCAAAAATAGGATTTTTAGTAGTGCATGGTGACACACATTTGTAATCCCAGTACTGGTGAGGCAGAGGTGGGAAGGTTGTCACAGGCTTGGGGCCAGCCAGACTACACACTTACAGCTCTTCTCTAAAGGAAAAGGGGGTGCAGAAGAAGCAGATGAGATAATAATTTGTGAAATCAAAGAAGCTGGTCCTGTAGGACAGACACAGCAAAAAGTGACAGCGGTGAAAACGTCATGGCCTGCTGGCAAAAGAGTAAAGGGATATGCTAGATAACGCAGAATTACTGGGTTAGGAAAGAGCTTTTGTCTGAAGGAACCTTACAAACAGGAAAAGTATGAACAAGGCCGGTTGTGGGGTAATGAGACAAATGCCAGAGCCAGGTCTAACACTGAGGCGTGAGTGTGAGGTTCCAGAGTACACGGCGTGGCCAGTATCGTGTCTTGGGTGCAGCCTTGGATGTAAAATACGAAGGGTAACAGGTAAGCTCATTGGCAGTGGCAAGTCCTCAGACCAGAGCAATCCGGAGCCACGGGAGTTTGGGAATTCAGACTTTGGAGAGAAATGTGACTTCTAGATGCCCATGACTAAAGCAGGCTTTCATAGTTCAGCTGAGGTGGCGCCACCAAAAGTCATCAGTCGTGGTACCTTTTATTTCAAGCAAGGGGACAACAGTTTTTGGTGGTGGTGGATTTCAGAGTTACAGATTAGCACATACAAGGTAGGAGACCAAGGGAAAAAAGATTCCCATGAATGTGGCTCCTTGAGGAAACTGGACAAGTGCATGGGCTGCAGCAGGACCAAGCCAGGAGTCTCAGATGCTTTTCTGTTGCTGTAACAAAACATAGCCGGGCAATGTTTATTAAAGAAAGCATTTGATTTGGGGGCTCATGGTTCCAGAGTGTAAGTCAGTGACTATCAAGTCAGGTCGCATGGCACTGGAACGGGCTGAGTGCTCACATCTTGAGGCAACAGTCATGAGCAGAAGGACATTGCTAACTGAGATTAACATGGATTTGTGAAACCTCCAAACCTACCCCCAGTGACACACCTAATCCTTCCCAAACAGCTCTACCAATTGGGGATCAAGTATTCAAATCTATGAGCCTATGAGGGCCATTCTTATTCAAACTACCACATTCCATTCCCTGGCCACATAGCTTCGAGGCCATATCACAGTGTGAGATGCATTTAGTCTAACCTCAAAAGTTCCCACAGTCTTTCAGTTTCAACACAATTCAAAAATCCATAGTTGTCTTACAAAGCTCAAGACAGTCTCTTAACTGTAACCCCCATAAAATAAAAAGCAAATCACATACTTAAACATACAATGCACAGAGTACACATTACCACCCCAAAAGAGAGGAAAGGGAGCATAGTGAGGAAATACTGGACCAAAGCAAGACCAGAAGCCAGCTGGGCAAGCTCGGTAGCTCTGTGCCCGTGTCATGCGTACATGGCTCTGCCTTCATGCTGCTGAGGACAACTCACTCCCCTGTGGCTCGCTTCCACTTCTTTCTGCCACTCTTTGGCAGGCGCCCTCCGCTGTCATCACAGCACATTAGGTGTCTAACTCGATCCAGCCTTTTACCCCTGTATCCTTCATGATTTTAAAGCCAAAACCACCTGGTTGAAGCAGCTCTGCTGCCTGTTTGGGAGGGATCCTGCCCCCTCTTTGCATTACATTTGCATGAGCTTTTGATTTGTTGTTGATTTGGGGGACCAGAAAAGATCTAACGTCTAAGGGACTTTTTCCTTGGACAGATTGCAGGATTAGCTGGGTGGGGTCTTACCCCAAGGGTATCACTTCCTTTATTCCATTTTGTACCAGGCCTTTAAATTTTTTATCTTTTTGAACACAGGACTTCACTCCAACATTAAGTTTACTGGTGCTCTGTTTTTCCTCAAGTTGTACATTTTGTTTTTCTTTTTGCCCTGCGTGCCCTTTTTCATTGTAGATCTATGAGTAACTATGAGAAAGAGTCCATATTAGGCTGTCTGGAAATCTCTGCCAACAAAATTAGTCCCAAACTCTTCAGTTCAGCCTCAGGCAGATTCTTGGGGCAAGGGCAAAAAACAGCCAGTTTTTATGTCAAAATATGGCAAGAATGGTCTTTCCCCCTGGAGCCTCCTGCGTTTGCTGTCAGTACTTCTGTCTTCCAAGCCCCAGCGAGGATGTCCCATTGAGCCACATCTGAGCACTCCGCTGCTGTCTTAGTCCAGAGCCCCACGGAAACAGCATGGTCAGGCCTGTCACACAATGTGCCTCATGAGCCCAGAAGAGTGAAATGCCAAAGGTGTGGTATCTGGTGCAGCATGGTTAGGAGGGAGGGCACACTCTTGCAGGATCCAGAAAGCGTGTTTTGAAGAGGAGCAAGACAGCGTTGGCTTTGAAGTGAGGGGATTGCCATCAATCTTACAAAACCATAAAGTCCTGAAGACAGAAGTTAAACGTAGAGGCCACATGAGGCTGGGGGTGTGGCTCAGTGGGGAAGTGCTTGTCAACATGTACAAGATTTCTTTGTTTTCCTAACCATTCAAAAGATAAGTTATTCTCCACTCTCAAGCCATATAAAACAAATATAATTCAGATTTAGCACACACATCTAATTTGCCAACCCCTGTTAAGATACCAAAAATTTCATCCCCGGGTAAGCAGAAGCCTTGTTTGAGATAACAGTGTGCAGTAACTGTTTTCACTATTGTGTTTAGAAATGATGTCTCATAGAGACTGCTTTAAAGTATGGCTCCCACAGCTCTAACTCGGTCTGTAGGCTCTGTCTGAGGTGCTAGAAGCTGGAGGTTTCTGTGTCTCTCTAGACTCCATGTGTCAACTCCATGAGACAAGGATCAACTTTTTCAGTATTGTATTTCTGGCACTTAGAACATTATGTTGCTTCTAGTAGCATCTAGATCACTTAAAATACTAAACTTTCTGTTTTATTCCACACATAGCTATTGTGACATTACATGATATTCCTATGCCACTGGTGTTGTGAGGCTTTTTGTGGTTCCTCACTATGGCTCTGCTGCCAGGGTGTTAGCATCTCCAGGTGATGCACCGCAAACTTCATCATGTGTTTTACCACTGAGACTCCATCTCCCAACACATTCCACAGGCCCTCTAGCTTTCACTTTGTTTTCAAAGATCCATCACTTCCTGGCATATATTTTCAGGCCAATTTCACAGATCTGCTGAGTCTATACATACTCCCAAACTATGCCTGTAAGATGAGTGGGTTCCAGTGCACGTCAGCTGTGTCTCAAGAAAATCGACTTTTTAAAACAACCTCCTCACAAAGCCAACCCTGATTTGGATAGCTTTAAGTAGAAACGTAGAAGAAGAATTCAGCTCCTCTCCCACACAAAATTTTACAAGTTTGGCTTTGAGTTTGAAGCTGTTTGGATCAAGCTTTGTTTTTACTCTGATTTTTCCATCCCAGGGAAAGGAAAATCTATTCAACAACGAAAGGCTAAGCCTCCGAAGAAGCAAGAGGAGAAGGAGAAGAGGGGAAAAGGAAAGCCCCAGGAGGATGAGCTAAAGGACACCCTGGCCGATGACGACAGCTCCTCCACCACCACAGAGACCTCCAACCCCGACACAGAACCACTCCTCAGGGAGGTACGTGGGGACCTCAGACCACCTAGCTCAGTACAGATTAATGTCTCCGTGTGCATCCTCCCACTTCTACGGAGCATACGTCCTAAGTGGTTTCAAGCCTACACCCTTCTCCCTGCAGAAACACCCCAGCCTGAGAGCTAAGGACTGCATATCTCCAGGGAAAGCACATTCCAAAATATTAGCTAGAAACTGTCACACTGCTAAGGAATTAGGGCAGTCAGGAAAGTAATCACACTACTTCATGAAATCTGTTCCTGGCTTTAAGCATCGCAGAGAGGAAAGAACCGAACCCTGAACGTTATATAGTCATGCTGGAAACAGCTCACTCTCCAGGCAGGGGCAGAGAAAAAATAGGGTCCAGATACCATTAGTGGTTACCTGGAGCCAGAACCCAGCCTAGGACACGTCAGCACATGAGGAACGTGTCCCACCCATCCTTTGAGTCAGCAGCTGAGGTGATTGAACATTTAGAAAAACACCGCTGACCACTTGGCACGTCACAGCTGTGCACATGTCCAGCAGTGTTCGTTGTAAATGCTGTGCGGAAAGGCAGGCTCCGACTCTACTTTGGTATTTTCCATTTTAGGTGGGTGTTTTTTGACTTTCAATGATCTGTGCAACACTTAATGCTGTGGACCAGAATCTGACTTCTGGTTTCCATCTGGTGTTCTAAGGAATCCATTCATAAGCAGGCCCAGCTATGTCCACTGGGCAATTTAAGTTTTACATCAGACATACAAGTAATGTCCCACATATGTCCTCCTGTCCCCTTTGCATTCCTTGCAGTTGGCCTGGTGCTCTGTCTACTTCCATGTAATTGCCGGAGAAGCAGGGTCCTTGCTGCTAGCCTTGAGTGGAGTCCCAGCAACGTCAGCATTTGAAAAGCATTTTCATCCCAGGACTTCCTGGCCACTACCATTCTCTAACCCACTAGCGTCTTTCCCACCTCACCTGTCCATGCCTTCTGTTCCCACATCTTCTGTACTGTTTGCTTCCTCAGTGGCAAGGCTTGCAGCTCACCCTCCCAAGTCCCACGCCACTAGTCCTCCCTTAGATGGACTTCATTCCTACTCTCCAGCACTGTTTCTTAACTACTGGCCGGTGTGAGTGGGCTGTCCATCTCACGGCATCCCTGTTGCATCCAATGTGTATTGAGCACCTAAGTGCCAGGCTCTTGGGTGGCAATGCTGGACAGGTCTTGCTCTTTTCTTAGGGAGCTGTTGGGCTAGAGAGAGGTGTCTCTGCTGTTAAAGGATACAGCTCACAACCACCCTTCAGGAGAGTTCTTGCTCTGGGCCTACAACTAATCATGGATTCAGGAAGTACTTGAATGATTCTAAATAGTCCCTGAAGGCATAGGATAGAGAGGAGGGTGGCCTGAGTGACCACCACTTCTTGTTTATTTACTTTCAACAGTTAAGTAAACTGTCCTGCTAAGTTTAGGCTGCCTGTTAGCCACACTGAGGCAGGACAAGTGGTAGGTTGTTTTTCTCAAGCTTGACCCCCACACCCATGGCTGACCACTTTGCTGAGTGTGCCTTGCCCATCAGCCCGGGTGCTCTGAGTCCGTGTGATGAAGAACCAGGTTGTTTTTGGTACACCGCCCACTTTGTGCGTAGCTCCCCAGGCAGCATCAGCAGTCCTTGAGTGGATTCACAGCCTGGTCACGAGACAGCTCCTCTGAGCTCATATGTGGATATGTTAACATGTCACATCACTCTAAAATTGCTCATTGTATGTTTTCTTATCTGGCGAAGGGCCAAAAGCAGCAATGGTGGCCAGTTTTGTAGCCTGGGCTTTACAGTACAGCTTAGATTGCCTGCCCGGGCAAGGCTGCCCAGTCAAGCCAGGCATAACAAGTCCTCTGGGCTCCGCAATGGTCAAGGGACATTTTCACAGTGCAGGCAACACTGCTGCCATATGTGTCTCCCTCCCTCTAGGCTTGATAAACCTAGGGAAGAGACTTTGTCCCCCTGGTAACTCCACTGCCTGGCAATAAGGTGATAGCCAGTAAATGTGAGCTGAATATGTGAATGGATATCCATGCTCCACCTCCTGGTGGGGAGGGGAGGGAGATGTACAAACACCACAGCACTGAACGACTAGGTGTGAGTGTGCCAAGTGCCTCCCTGATGCTCTCTTGTCTGAGCTATGTACTAAGGATAACACATGCTGCTGCAAGTATTTGGCTTTGTAAAATAGTCTTTGCTGGATCTTTCTTATAGAGACATGGTTTTACTCCCAGTACTTGTTGGGACATGCATGTAAAACTAACTGATCTTTATAATTCAGACTCATCAGAATGAGATTATACTAAGTTAAAAACACCTGGGAAATTGACAGCTACAACAGATTTCAAGAAAGGCGTTTAGGTGGACAGGTGTGGTGTGCACACCTTTAATCCCAGCACACAGGAAGCCCAGCAGATGAATGTGGAGCTCAAGGCCAAGCCTGGTCTACATAAGATGTTCCAGGCCAACAAGCAGCTGCACAGTGCACCTCTGTCTGAAAAGGGGGGGTATTATCTCTACATATTTGACATGTATAGCTGTTACCTTAGAATTTGTGTCTTCATCTCAAACAAAAAACATTTGCAATCATTTTATTAATCCTTTTGAGCATCTTTTACAGGACACAGAAAAGCAAAAGGGAAAACAAGCCATGCCAGAAAAACATGAAAGCGAAATGTCTCAAGTGAAACAAAAAAGCAAAAAGCTTTTAAATGTTAAGAAAGAAATCCCAACAGATGTGAAAGGCAGGTGAGTACAGACAGAACGCAGTGAGTGTCACGGGGTTGCTGCTGGGGGCCAGGCATCACTTCTAGTCACTTCCTAAGGGGTTTGGGTCACAAAAGCCAAGGACTGCCTCATATTCCTTGGGTTCAGATGTCTAGCTTTACTGTCGCTGCTTAGGGACATCCACCTGCTTCTGACGCCAGGTGTGTAAAGAGCAGGATTAGCGATCTGTACTGAGAGTTTGATTTAGTTTATTCCCAGGCTAAGAGCCATTTCAATGTGCACAGAGGTAACCTTGGTGGTTCAGCCACAAGTAGGAGTCTATAACAGAGCCTGCCATGTCACTAACCTGGGGATACAGTTGGGATCTAGAACTCTGCTGTAACCCTTGAAAGGGCTTATTCTTACCTAAAACATCCAGGGATAGTGTCAGCTTATTCTTACCTAAAACATCCAGGGATAGTGTCAGCTGTAGGGATGAGCCAACGCAACCATGAAAGAACTCCAGTACCCACAGGGCAGGATTCAGGCAGGCCTTGTAGGGAGGCTTTCTGTAGACTGTTCCCCAAGAAAATGAATGTGTGAGCTGCTGGGATGTTGACTCCGATTTATTCATATTTTCATTAAACTGGGTTAGCATCTTCCTGATAAACTGGTTTCGGCGTTACCACGGTGGGATCTGACAGACGGCAGCAGGTGGAGAGTGTGAGGAGGAAGAGTACAGGAGGGAGGGCGAAGGTGTCTTGTCATGGTTAGCCTGAGCTTAGAGTTATGAGGGATACTTCAAATATTATCCTAGTGCTACTGCTGTCTTGATGGCTGTCACCAGCTCTGTTCTGATGCCTGAACTACACTAACTGCTGTTTTATACTGATTTTTTTTTCAAACAAGTTGACCGTTATCACGTTTGATCTTGAAAACTGTTTCTCTCTGGCCCTTATAGATGGAATCACTTCAAGTCAGATGGCTGTTGTCCGTTTTATTTAAAAATCTTAAACTTTTTTTTTCTAGAAACCATCTGGTTAATTTAGGAATGTTGAATTAGCAAAAAAAAAAAGTTTGGCACCTTTTTCTTCCAAAAGCCAATTAATTTTACAGTGGCAGAGTTAAGCTTTGTGAAATAGACACCCCCGCAGTTATAGATGGCTTGCCCAAATATAAGCCACCAGCCTCCACCAGGGGCTGGGTGTCTATGCCGTTGGAGTCTTCTGCCATTTTTAGAATGTGAAATTTTAAAATAACCATGTCAGCCTGAAATAGAAGGGCGGAAGATTGTGTAGCACTCTGGTGTTTGTAGTCTTGCCCATAAATGGTAGTGGTGAAGTTTTTGTTTTTGTTCCAGTTTGTTATATTACTTAAAATTTATGTGGGCTAACAGAGACCGTCTGGTTTGTTTGGTTATCTCTTTAACTAATTTCAGAAATATTTACGGAGTCTGGCATGGTGCCACATTCCTTTAAACCCAGTGCTTGGGAGACAGAGGTAGAGTTGAAGGACAGCCAGGGCTACATAGAAAGACCATCTCGAAAATGAAGATTTGTGAAATGCGCAAAAACAAATGTTCTTTGAACCCAACCCCTCATTCTTTAAAATGTGTGTGCTCTTGTGTGAAGTCAAACTTTGCCTTCTTTATTTCCTTGGTTTGCCAGGGAGTAGGAGAGCTATGAGTATTTGGAGGCCACAGTTCTAACCTTAGAACTGTGCTGTGAATCAGTACAGTGCTTTCTTTTGTACCTAAAACCTAACAACAATTGTCAGCGTCCTAGAAATGAGAAATGGGGTGAGAGTGGCACCAGATGATGGGCTATAAAGCACTTGAAGACCAGAGGAGCAGGGTTGGAGTCTAAGGGATGTGCTGAGGTTGCAGACACACAAGGGTTGGGGACAGGAAGCATACTCAGTGTGAGAGGCACAGCTCCTCTAAACATACCTGGGCACAGCCCAGTGTGGATGTGCTTTGGTAATTGTAGCTACTCAAAGGATGAGGAGGATCGGAGCTCAAGGGCTAACCCGAGCTACACAGCGATCTCACAGCCAGCTTGGATGCCGAAGACACAGCCAGCTGAAGACTGGCGTACACAAAGCCCTAGACTTAGTACTCAGCACTGGAAAAGGACAAAATAAAATAAAATGTGCACAGGCAAACCAGGCGGTGGTTTAATCCCAGCACTCGGGAGGCAGAGGCAGGCAGATCTCTGTGAGTTCAAGGCCAGCCTGATCTACAAAGCTACACAGAGAAACCCCGTCTCAAAAAAAAAAAACAAAAAAGAAAAGAAATGTGCACAGGCTTTGCATATCTGTGCCCAAAAGCAATCAGTCGGCTTTTCTGCCGTTAACAGCCAACCTGGTACTTCTCTCCCAGGGGCCACTGCCTAGCTGTGTCCAGCCTCCCAAGTTCAAAGCCTCACCAAAACATTTTTGTAAAGAACACCTGTCACCCAGCAGTCTCAGAATGTTTAGAGCAGAGTCCCAAGTGTAGAAGTAGGCAGGTGACGCCTCAGGAAGCCCTGTCAGTAAGGCATGCAGTTGAATTATGCTCCTAATGACATTCCCTTGCTCCAAACAACAGGATAAATTGGTGTCTGCATCCTTGTTTGTCTTTCAGTTCCTTCGAACTACCATATACTCCCTCACTGGAAAGTAAACAGCGTAGAAATCTCCCAACCAAGATTCCTCTTCCAGCTACACTAACAAGTGGATCCAAATCACGAAATTCCCAGAAAACAAAAGGTATTGTCATGATTTGTTGTTTTCATGACTGTCGAGTGGCCGGTACTCAGTCAGTAGCTGCTAAGTATGAATGAAGCCAAGGCCATGTTGAGGGCTCTTGAAGCAGACTTAGGAGAGAAAAGCCCTCCCCGCTAACTTTCCTTTCTAATTGTGTGCAGGTACAAATAAGTTAGTGGACAACAGGCCAGTTGCCCTCTCGAAATTCCTTCCCAGCAGTCAGGAACTAGGGAACACCAGCAGCTCGGAGGGTGAAAAGGACTCTCCTCCACCAGAGTGGGATGCTGTGCCAGTCCACAAGCCCAGCAGCTGTAAGTACAGGTTTAGAAGCCACTGTTGTTTCCAGAAGAGGGCTTCTATAACCAACCTCACCTAGCCAGCAAGAGCCCAGAGTACATCTACACTCAAAACAGCAGGGGCCAGAACGCTGTTAGAAATTGGAGATTTACACACACCAGAGGAGGTATCAGAGGACTCAGTAGGGCTCTTTGCTGGTGTCACCAGGCCCTTCCCTGACTAGAGAGTGAACATCCAAAGGTGCTGTGCTTTCTCGGAGCATTGCCTAGGTCCTTCAGGGTGACTCCCACTTAGTGCAATTCACCCAGCTTCTTTGCATGGCCTGTGGCAGTTTCTCACCCCCTTCCTGGCTTTGCCTGTCCACACAGCTTCCCCAGAGCAGTGGTCAGGAGAAACAAGCCAGCAGAGGGCACTAGTCAGCTCGTTGCGCTGTCACTAAACCCTGCCCTGAACCCAGCGGGAAGCTGTGTGGCCTGACTGCAACGGTCCGCCCACTGCCTCCCAGCTCCTTGCTCTTAGGTCGGTGGCAAAGCAGAAGCCGTGATGGAAGGGCGTGGCAGAGCAAAGCTGCTCAACTCCTGGCAGCTTGGAAGCAGAGAGAAGGTGGTCCAGGAAGAAGTGTTAGACCAAGCCTCCAACTCATGAACTTTGGGGTAGATTTTCTACCCAAGGCGTGCCAGAGCATGGCCTGCTCCAGTGTTGGCCTTTGACCAGGGAAAGGTCAGAGAAGGTGCCACAAGTGAACAGGGAAGATGTGTGCATCCATACAGTCCCCTTCAACAGAGTGTGGTGGATGAGCATACTGGACTCTGAACAACTCAGGCAACAAGTTTCACACACACAGCGTTTGTGCTGGGCATGGGCAACAGCAGAGCCACTACAGAGAGGCCGGCCGCCACCTTTGTGGTCAGGAGTGAGGGTGGGCAGGCTGCAGGCTTAAGGAATGAGAAAGGTGTCAGTGCCACTGATGTGGACTTAGCACAGAGCAGACTGTAGTTGAGCAAGGAGTCTAATTTGCCAAAGTTTATTTAGGACTGTGTTTAGAAACGAATCATATCAGGGCATTCATTGAAACAGATCTTTAGGGGCTACTGTAACCACACAGACTAGAGCTGGGCGGGCAGACCAGGGGGCGCTAGAGGCTGAGGTGTGGGGCTCAGAGCCGTGTGGCATGAGAGATTTTCTGTTTATTATTACCCCTTTTTCTAGTTGGGTGCAGACATGACATCAAAATATTTTTCTAAAGTTTGAGAACAGCTGTATAGATGTTTAAGGTCCAGGAATACACTGAGAGCTCACTCACTCACAGCCTTGTAACCAGGACCACAGCTGCACCTTTTAGCACAGGCTGAGATAAGGAACCCTGCTGTGAGTTTAACCCTGGAACAAGGCACAGCCACCCTTGGGTCCCCAGGCAATGGCTTTAGCTGCTCATGGGGGCGGCAGTGAGGGCGGCGACCACCCTGTCCTGCATTCATGGAGCACATGCTTGCAGTCCCTGAAAGCCCAAGGACACAGAGAGATTCGAATTTCTTTTTCTTTAAAACCTTTAAATGGAATGTGTAAAGGTCTGAATTTGCTTTCTTCATAGAAGCACTTGAATTTTCACATTTTTAGAAATCCAAAATAGAGTCCAGATCAAAATGTCACATTCATGGGATCTTCTGTTCATTTCCAGCTACTGACAGTCTTTATAAACTGTCTCTGCAAACCCTGAATGCAGACATTTTCTTAAAACAACGCCAGACCTCACCAACACCGGCCTCTCCATCTCCGCCCACCGCTCCTTGCCCATTCACATCCCGTGGCAGCTACAGCAGTATTGTCAACAGCTCCAGCAGGTAGGCCCACTGGTCGCACCTGACATCACCTGGTTGTCGGAGTTGACACTCAGCAGCCACACGCAGTCCGTTGTACCTGACAGCCCCGCTTTTCCATCAGTAGGTCCTTTTCCTGGGGTCAGCTGTGCCTGCTCCAGGTGTCTGACCCCGCAGTGCTCTGACCCCGTCATTGGACAAGTCTGCTAAGTATTCTAGGACTGTGTTCTCATCCGAGAGCCTGGCAGGCATCCCAGCGACTAAATGCTTTCCTCTAAGGACAGAGCATGAGAACATCGTTTATGAGTACTTAGGCTTGGTAGCTAGAAGGGTCTGTCTCAGTACCACAGGCTCATTTCCTGCTGCCAGGCTCCTTCTGTAGTTGTCAGCGGAGGCCATGGCCAGTGGCACAATGGGACCTGCTGGGGCCTGAGGAGAACGGACCCGTCCTGCCTGTCAGCACCACAGTCGGCTGGTATTCTGAGAGGTGTCTTTCCTAAGTGGTCTCCTTCAGATTCTTCAAGATGTAATGTGATCTCCGCCTTTTCCGAGTCCCTAAATTGTGATGCCTGCCTTGGTCTCTTTCCTAGCTTTCTTAGAAACCCCCCATTTTCTGTGTGATTAAGCTGTCTTGGACTTCAGAACACTTTCACAGGGCTTAGCTATGCTCTGAGCCATCCTGGGCTGTCATCCCTGGGTCTGGTGCTCCTGCGCTGTAGGCACCAGCAGTGAGGTAGTGCTCTTTCCTTCTTGCTCAAGTGACACAAAAGCAAAGCAACCCAATGGAAGCAAAAGCAAGTTGACAAAGGCAGCCTCTCTCCCAGGCAAGAATGGCAACCCCACCTTCGCCGCAGTCACCGCAGGCTATGACAAGAGCCCAGGTGAGTGGCCTGCTCCCACAGCCTGCCACACCTGAAAGGTGGACGTGACAGGTGGGCTTTGTCCAGCTTTGCCTTACGCTGATGCAGAACCCTTGTTGCAGGAGGGAATGGCTTTGCTAAAATTTCTTCAAACAAATCAGATTTTTCCAGCAGCCTTGGCATTTCACACATTCCTGTTGACAGCGATGGCTCAGACAGGTATGTGGCTCGCCCTTCATCCAAAAGAGTTGAGATTTCCTGGTGGGACCTTTCCTAATCGTATACAGCACCCGCTTTGTAGGTCTCCCTTTGTCCTTGCTTACAGCAGAGCCCTCAATTGTAGCAGCTCTCCTTGGGAAGCTGTGTGGTGGGCCCGTCTCACTAACCGTCACCCATTCTGGGTTTTTTCCCCTTATGACATTCAGCTCGGGTTTGTGGAGTCCTATCAGCAATCCAAGCAGCCCCGACTTCACCCCCCTCAATTCGTTCTCGGCCTTTGGAAATTCTTTTAATCTAACAGGTGGTAAGTATTTAACCCCCAATCCTGTAAGTAGGAAGCTTAGACATGACGCTGCTGCTAAGTTACGTGCAGGTCTCAGGGGTGCAGGCTGGACTTGGCGTCACGGAGGGCTCTGGGGACCCAGCACACAACACAGCGGCCATGTGGACGGGTCCTCCCTGATGACCCTGCTCAGAGCATAGCAGGACATGGTGCCCAAGTCGGCTTGTGCTCCACAGCACACGCCTACGAGCGTCTGAGGTCAACCCTACATCTGTCCACCAGGCACAGTGTGAGTTTGCATTAGCCACAGGTCAGTGTTGGACAGTTGCATACTGGGATCTAGTGATGAGTTACATGTTCAGATGGTGTGCCATGCGCCCGACTTCTTGGGAACATCCCAGACCACCACAAAATGTATGTGGCCGCTTAGAGTGCATGGCACTGAAGTGTGTTGGCACTGAGTGACTCTCATCTCACCCATCCCAGAGATGATAGGGGACTTGACCCACGATCTCATATTTTAACAGTTTTCAGCAAACTCGGGCTGCCGAGATCCTGCAGTCAGTCATCCCAGAGAAGTTGGAATGAGTTCAGCAGCGGCCCCTCCTACCTTTGGGACTCTCCAGCAACAGACCCCAGCCCTTCCTGGCCAGCCAGTTCCAGCTCCCCAACCCACACAGCCACTGTGAGTGTTGAAGCCCCATCCCTCCCATCATTGCCATCACTTGAACTGTACTTCGAAACGGCCGAGAGCCCCGTGATAGGAAAGGCCGTGTCTCGGGGTTCTACTCTTTTGTCTCATCTCTGTCCGTGCCCACCGTGCCCTTCACAACCGTTAATTAAGATGCTGAGAGAAAACAGGGCAGCTGGGCTCGGGCCCTGGCTTCCCTCCCACAGATTATTGTTCAGCCCATCCTCCCGGCTAGCTAGAGACCAGGTGTGACTGCCATCCAAGGCGCAAGTGGCATGGCCCCACTCCTCACGGCCAGCTGGGAAGTGGCTCACACTTGGTTTTTTGAGATGCACTTGGCTTTCAGGTTCTCTCTACATTTACTTATAAGCTGAATTTTTTGCAAAGATTATGCTCCCAAAAAGTCCTCTTGCCAAGAAAATAACAATTCATCCTTCACAAAAACGATGGCAGGAAAACATAATGAACTGCAACTTTGCCTCAGAAAACCCTAAATCCACATGCATGGTAGAGGGGAAGTGCATTGGCTTTGTAAGTTTGGCCATCAAAGGGCCCAAAGCCTGTCTTCCTCGGTAATAATTCTGGTGTCAGTCTCCACAATGCCTTAAAAGAAGGGCCAGCGGCTTGTCTGCACACACCAGGTGGTAGTCTGTTCCTGGGGCTTTGCAAACCACTTTTCCACACCACTTTTTAGCTTTGCGCCTTGATACAAATCAAGACCCGCACAAGCACCTGTGCCCCAGGGATGCCTGTGCATAAAAATCAGGCTGGCTGTGCTGGGTCTACCACTGTCATCAAATGTCACAGCATCACAGCTGGGCATTGGTGGCACACACCTTTAATCCCAATACTTGGGAGGCAGAGGCAGGCAGATCTCTGAGTTCGAGGCCAGCCTGGTCTACAGAGCGAGTTCCGGGACAGCCTCCAAAGCAATACAGAGAAACCCTGTCTGGGGGGAAAAAAGTCACAACAGATTCCACTGAGGCTAACTATTAACTATATGGAGTACTTTAAAATAAATAAAAATGAGAGAAGTCTGTGGGCCATTTATGTATATCTTCACGTGTGATCCTAACCACTTCCCCTGCCTTCTGGCCCCTCGTGCTCACTGTTGGATGTTTGTTTTGTCACAGTCTGTCCTTGGCAATACCAGTGGCCTGTGGTCCACCACTCCGTTCAGCAGCTCCATCTGGTCCAGCAACCTCAACAGTGCCCTTCCGTTCACCACTCCAACAAATACACTGTCAAGCATCGGCCTCATGGGCACGGAAAACACCACTGCCCATGCTCCTTCCACCCCTGGCCCAGCTGACGACTTGGGACAGACCTACAACCCCTGGCGGATATGGAGTCCCACCATCGGAAGAAGAAGCTCTGATCCGTGGTCTAATTCGCACTTCCCTCATGAAAATTAAAATTAAGCAAAAAACAAAACGCGGGGCCCCTCATCTAGATCATGATATGCCAGTCTCTGAGACATCTTCTGAAGGCCCTTACTGCTGTCGCTTTCCTCTCCCCCTCCTCTTTGCAGGGCAGGCTTGTTCCACTCGCTTCTTTCAGACCTTTCTTGCAATTATGATACTCTGAGATTTGCTGTTGTGCTTGTAGACAAAAGTCTGGACTCGGCCACAAACTACTACAACCTGTCCATCTGAAATTTTGACTCACCCATTTCCCCCTTCCCCCCCTTGTCTCTCCCCCCTGCTTTATCTGTAAGAACACAAATTTGGCATTACAGTTAAGGGAGTAATTTGAGTTGATTGACAAGTCCTGGCATGTGACAATTTTACTAAATTACCAAGTTTGGTTTTTAATAATTTCACAATATTATGCGCCAAGATCTAATTTTAAAAATGTATGAGGACTTTGTGCTGAAAATACAGAGTATTTTTTTAAAGTAAGGCTATCTTGGTTTAAAAGCAGATTACAGAGACGTAAGCCAGCCTGAGAACAGTGGCTGAATGTGAAGCAGCCAGTGGAGACCACACACATTTTCTGTGCTGTTTGTACTTGAGGTATGAACCATTTGTATACCTGAATTTATTTTAAAGATGAACCGAAATGCACACAGCCAAGTCTTGACATTACAAGATTGTGTATTTCTTAAATACAACTTTGTGTTGTACTTTGAAATAAATGATGCTTTTTTTCAAAAGCCTCGAATTGTTTTGTTCAATTTTTTAACACACAAGATGCATTTCACACCATGATGGGCCATGGTGTGATTGCGTGACACTCTGGAGTTGATAGGTTAAAAGCACTATCTGTTTTCTCATGGCTACAGACAGCTGTGGTCTCCCAAAATACACACACACACACAACCTCCACCACCACCACCAATGCCACCGAGGAACCCTGATAGAGGCTTTTCCTCCTCCACATCCAACTGAAACAGAACAGCCTAAAGAAAAAGTAGCTGAAACCCTTGACTCTTCTTGGGTCAGCTGCCTTCTGAAGCCTTGGGGGTCTCCATTTTGCACTTAGCCTCTTCCTCGCCAAGTGACCAGTGATCAGATCCTTTCGAGTCACCCTTCTCAAAAAGGGCCTCGTGCCGGCTCGCCACTGCACGCTGTGACAGGAGTTTGAAGACAGGAAATCCTGTGGCTACAGAAACAAAGATAGAAGCTGGGACTGGGGGTGACTGAGGAGACAGATCAGTGCAGCTGAGTCCAGGTCCCCAGGATCTCCATAGCCCACATAAACGTAGGTGTGGTAGCCACCTGGCATCCCGGCTGGGGGAGGGGGGGGCAGACACTGAGCCCCCGGGACCAGCTGCACTAGTCACTGAATGAGTTCCGGTTGGTGAGAAACCTGCCTTAGCAAACCAAGTGGACTGTGCAGAAGCATGCCTGACAGACCTCGAACACATGCACACGTGTGCTGTACATACACACTTAGACCACACATGCACGGGTATACCACAAGAGAAGCAGGCAGAAGGGAGATGTTGATCACAGGAAGTGCTTGAGACCACCTGCAGGAATGCCCAGGGTTGCACTGTCCTGCGGAGAAGGGGAGGGACCAGTCAGAAGGAGCCATTTACCCACCAAGAGAAAACCTTCAGCATGGTAGCCACAAAACCCGGCTGGCTGGAAGGCAGCACCATGTAGGAATGCCAGCACGTGCCATCTGCCAACAGGCCCAGGACCAACTAGAAAAGACTGGCAGAGGCTAGAAGGCATAAAAGAAAGGTTTGTGCGCACCTAAGACATTTTTCTTTTTAACAAATGGCTGACCCTTTTCCAGCATTAACTCTTTCTCCAGGAAGAACAAGTGGCAGCCCATCAGTCTAATCTGGCTTCTAATGTCCCTGGAGGCCCTCCCTGCGTCTGCAAGCTTTTCTTGTCGGGATTTCTGGGATTTTTTTTTTTTTTTTTTTTTTGGCTTTTACGAGACAGGGTTTCTCTGTATTGTTTTGGAGGTTGTCGGTCCAGGCTGGCCTCGAACTCACAGAGATCCGCCTGCCTCTGCCTCCCGAGTGCTGGGATTAAAGGCGTGCACCACCACCGCCTGGCGATTTCTGGGATCTTACAAACAACTTTTGCTAGGTAACAGCTGCTGAACAAATGTTTGTTCTGAGGCCAGTTGCATGGTCGAGATCAAGCAGCCTTCGATGGGCAGTGCTGTGCAGCTGAGCCACCCTATAGCGTGGTTTGGAATCTAGCCTTCCCTGATTTTCATCAAAGTTCACCAGAAACAGCCAAACCATTGTGAGTTACCACATAGGGATGGCGGGCTTACTGTAGTCTTGGTTGTTGACAAGGTATCTTGTGCACTCGCAAAGTGAGGATGAACTTAAAGCATACAATCTTTACACCAGGAAAGACCAGAGTTCTCTGCACAGGTTAAGCAAGCTTCACACGAACTGAAGGGCTAGAGGGACAGCTCAGCAGTAAGACTACTTGCCACTCTTTCAACCACATGGAACTCCAGCTCCAAAGATCCAAACTCTTGGCCTCTGCAGCCATATACACATGCACATACAACCATGCACACCCACACAGCCACACGCTCATACAATCACATGCACATACAATCACACAAGCACATAAACCACACATGCGTACAACTACACACACACACAATCACATGTGCCTACAATCACACATACAACCACACATGCCCATACAATCACACACGCACATACAACCACATGCACATACAATCACACACAACCACATGTGCATACAATCACATGCACATGCAATCATACACATGAACACATAAGTAAAAACAAAAAGTAATCATATATATATGTACACAAATGTTAACCACAAAGATTGTTTAGGGTACAATGGGGATCCTGAGGAATCGGGTGATGGTGACGCATGCTTTTAATACCAGTACTCAGGAGGCAGAGGCAGGTAGATCTCTGTAAGTTCAAGGCCAGCCTGGTCTACAGTGTGAGTTCCAGAACAGCTAAGGCTTGAAAAAAAAAAAAAAGAATACCTTGAGGTTGCCAGCTATTCCGGGTTTTTTTTGTTGTTGTTGTTTGTTTGTTTGTTTGTTTTGGTTTTGGAGACAGGGTTTCTCAGTATTGTTTTAGAGGCTGTCCTGAAACTCAATAGGTAGACCAAGCTGGCCTCGAACTCACAGAGATCCACCTGTCTCTGCCTCCCAAGTGCCAGATCAGCTATTCCCTTTTTAAAGTTCCCTTTTCACCCCATGAGATGACCCTTGGCCGACTTGAGGAGTATCATACACTTGTAAAAAGGAAAAGCCAGGTGCTCCAGCTGTTCGATGAGAGCTAGATTCTGAGGTGGAAAAACAATAAAAATCAGGCAGAGAGAGAGACACCTAAAATGACAGTCTAGTAAGAGGCGAAATACCCTGGCATTTGCCACCCAGCCCCACAGCCAGGGAAGGAGGGTGTCTCCTGGGACGCTGCACTGACCCGGTGGGCAGCTGTCCTTAAAACCCAGCATGGAGCTGCAGAGCACTGTGAACCACGCCCATGAGTGTCCCACACTGCAATGGATGGGGGGACACAGAAGGAACTGCCCTCAAAACCAGAAGAAGGTATGGGGCTCCCCTCTGAGGCCCGCAGCACCCTGTGATCCCAGGCAGCACTGCAGGCACCCCTCCCCCAGGCCACGCTAACACCTGTTCCTGGCAGGGTAGAGAGAACACACTGCTGCCCTGTCACAGGGATGTCCTGAGTGTCCTTGAGCAACTCCACACACAGGCTCACACGGGGTGCCAAGGGCTAACACACTCATTCACACACTCGTTCACACACTGACAGACATGCAGAAACAGACATACACACACGCTCAGACACACATGCTAACACACTCACACACTGACAGACATGCAGAAACAGACATACACACACATGCTCAGACACACATGCTAACACACTCATTCACACACTGACATCAGAAACAGACATACACACACATGCTCAGACACACATGCTAACACACACACTGACAGACATGCAGAAACAGACATACACACATGCTCAGACACACATGCTAACACACTCACACACTGACAGACATGCAGAAACAGACATACACACACATGCTCAGACACACATGCTAACACGCTCATTCACACACTGACATCAGAAACAGACATACACACACATGCTCAGACACACATGCTAACACGCTCATTCACACACTGACATCAGAAACAGACATACACACACATGCTCAGACACATATGCTAACACACTCACACACTGACAGACATGCAGAAACAGACACACACATGCTCAGACACACATGCTAACACACTCACACACTGACAGACATGCAGAAACAGACATACACACACGCTCAGACACACATGCTAACACACTCATTCACACACTGACATGCAGAAACAGACATACACACACATGCTCAGACACACATGCTAACACACTCATTCACACACTGACATCAGAAACAGACATACACACACATGCTCAGACACACATGCTAACACACTCACACACTGACAGAAATGCAGAAACAGACATACACACACGCTCAGACACACATGCTAACACACTCATTCACACACTGACATGCAGAAACAGACATACACACACATGCTCAGACACACATGCTAACACACTCACACAGACAGAAATGCAGAAACAGACATACACACATGCTCAGACACACATGCTAACACACTCATTCACACACTGACACGCAGAAACAGACATACACACACATGCTCAGACACATGCTAACACACTCATGTTCACACATACACACACACAGACACATACAATTGTTGCCCTAATCAGTTCAGCTGCACTGGGAATTCTGTTCCCTTAGGCACGAATTCTGTTCCCTCAGGCATAGACTCCATCATGATTGCAAAAGGGAACTTTATCTAGATCTCTATCCCTTCAGAGGCTGAGGCGGAAATTCTGCCCACTCACTCACAGAGGCTGAATAGCAAGTAGCTAACCTTCCTTCCTAACTCCCCAGAAACCGGGTGTCCTTCAGCTCAGCCCCCACTTAAGAACCCGAGCTACACATGGTTCCTCCCTACCACTTCCTGTCAGCTTGTTGCTGACTCAGCCTCCTGACCCCAGGTTATTTTATTTGATCAAACAAATGTAACACATCTTTGCATGGTTAAATAAATATTCCACAGTATAAACAAATGTAACACATCTTTGCATCATTAAATAAATATTCCACAGCATAAACAAATGTAACACATCTTTGCCTCATTAAATAAATATTCCACAGCATAAACAAGTGTAGCACATCTTAAGCTAATGTTCCACAACATGTGGTGTGGGTGTGGGTGAGAGAGAGAGAGAGAGACAGAGAGGACAGAGAGAGAGAGGAGAGAGAGAGAGGAGAGAGGAGAGAGGAGAGAGAGAGAGAGAGAGAGAGAGAGAGAGAGAGAGAGAGAGAGAGAGAGAGAGAGAGAGAGAGAGAGAGAGAGAGAGAGAGAGAGAGAGAGAGAGAGAGAGAGAGAGAGAGAGAGAGAGAGAGAGAGAGAGAGAGAGAGAGAGAGAGAGAGAGAGAGAGAGAGAGAGAGAGAGAAAGTTCTGCTGCACGGGAACTAACAGCATTGTCACAGCATCCATTCCTGGTTCGACACTACTCACACGTCATCAAGGCTCAGGAACTCTCAGTCCCACACAATTCCACAGGCTTTCCAGAGTGCCTGGCTTGCCACCACAAATAAAAACGA